AGAAATACTTTTGATGTTGAGTAATATCTCAGCTTTAACGCATAAAGCTGCATTCGCTAAATTAACCGAAAGTATTGTAAAGTTGGTGGTTGAAATACGTAATGAACATGTTAGGTACCATCACCAAAATCTGACTTGATTATTTCGAATAAATTGAGCATTGAGTAGATTGATATAAACCAAAAATATGTTTGTAATATCCCGATGAGTAGTTAAGTAGGATTTTCTGACGTTCCGTGACTTAGTGTAGGCCACTTCTTCAGAGAATAAACAACCAACTCAAAATTAATCCTAGTTTAGATAGCGCAACGGAACAACAAGAATATTATGTGATCGATCGAAAAACAGGTTCGAATAAATGAATGTCATGTCATTTCATTCAAGATGATTCATGTCCAGTTATCACTTAACTAACAATTGTTTGCAAATTTTTATTATTATTTATTTATTTTATTCTATTTTTGTTATCAACCTTCTTTTCACCTCCATTATTTGCTTGTAATTCATAAGCGAAGTGTTTGTAAATTTGTGCGCATGTATGTGTGTACTGTTAAGGGTGAAAAATGTGTAGCCCTCATGGTGAGAAAGGATAGAGTTTAATTTGTAAGATAATAGTGTGAGTTGTGAATAATATCAGATTAGGTGGCTAGGATAGATAGTCCAATTAAGATATATGGTAAGGCTTTCTTTTCTATTGACAGCAGTAGGATTAAGCATTTTATGGAACGCTTCAGCGAATCTCCATTAATTTTAACTCGGTTATTTATTCTCTGAAGAAGTGACTTACACTAAGGCACGAAACGTCAGAAAATCCCATTTTTCTTCTTATTGGATTATTACAAATGTACTATTGATTTTGTAATGAAGTTATGTGAGCTTTTATCAGCCAACCCAAAAAATCTAACACTCACATTATTACAGAAAATTGTCATCGTTATGAAGGTAAATCTGCATTCAGCTCTTATCATCCATGTGACCTTAACTTTCTCATTCACTTAAACCCCTGGGTTTTAAAACAGATTCTTAAGGCAGCTTTGATCATCAACCGTTATTATGAAACAAGGCAGGTTTGACGAATATAGTGTAGCGCTACTAATTCTCCTCTTAACCACGTTGCCTTGGTTGATTATTAGTTGTGTTACTCAAATAAACACAGCTACTCGTCTCTCTGTATTAAAATAGTTGTAACAAAGTCAGAAGTTATATCGACAGGAAGGACTGGATATAAAACTAAAAAGCTGTGACAAGCAACAATCAAATATCTAGAATCACCAAAACAAAGGAACGGGGATGTTTGACTTACGCTCACTTGTTTCACTTTATATTCTGACACTACAATTTTTTAATCAGCCATAATGAAATAATGGATATTCAACAGCTGAATTTGATTGTGATTTCAAGCCAAAAGTTACGAGTAGTGTCAACAAACAAAAGGCGATAACAAGAAGTTTTGGATTGAATGATTTATTATTTACTTTCAAGAAAACCCGCTTTGCAGCACCAAAAACAATGTATGCAATTTCATATCCTAGAAAGGTACTGTTGTACTCCGGTCTTAGAAGAGGAACTTGCTCCACACACTCAGGGAGGTGCTATGATGCCGTCCAAAGAAGCAGACAGAGCGCTTATACAATGGATATCTCAGACATCCAGAATCACGAAAAAAATCCTTCAAAATAAAAAGAGAAGGGATTACAACAAATGTTATTTTAATGTTATGAACCCACCAATGATAGCAACGACAACGATAGAGATCAGTTTTACGTGAGGCTGCCATCGATCACAGTAAAGTACCCACGAAAGGGCCTGACAATGTTGTTGGGAGAGCTAAACGCCAAAGTCGGTTATGAAGATATTATGGGAAGACACGGACTAGAAGAAAAGAACGAGAATGGGGAGAGATTTGTAAATCTATGTGTATTCAGCAAGTTGGTTATTGGCGGCACAATATTCCCATATAAACGCATCCACAAAGTTACATGGGTTCCACCGGACTACACCACAGAGGACCGGATAGATCATATTTGCATCAGTAAAACATTCACAAGGTCAATGGAAGACGTAAGAACCCATGGAGGTGCTGACATAGCTTCAGATCACCACCCGGTGGTAGCCAAGATAAAACTGAAGCCAAAGAAGCATTAGACAATCGGGAAAACAGCATTTCAAACGTTCAACACAGCATTCCTACGGGATACTGACAAACTCAACGAATTTGAGATAACTCTCAACAACAGGTTCCGAGCCTTACAGGATCTACTCAATGACGGAGAAACCACTATGAAGGACAACTGGAAAGGGATCAAAAAAGTACCATCGTAAGGGATGGATGTCGATGGAAACCCTGGACAAGGTTCAAGAGAGGAAGAACGAGAAGACAATGATGATCAACAGCCTAACAATAACAGAGAAAGTGAAGGCACAAGCTGAATACACAGAAGCAAACAAGGTAGTGAAGTGGAGCATTAAAGCTGACAAACAGAAATACGTGGACGATAATGGGAAAAGCTGCAATAGAAGGAAATATGAAAAAACTATATGACACAACAACGAAACTGTCAGGGAAATATGGTAAACTGGAGCGACCAGTCAATGACAAAGAAGGCAAGTCAATCACTGAAAATCGGTAACCATGAGGTGTTTGACAATTCGGATGGGAGAACGTCGTCAAACGTACTTTGAAGCTGGACATATAAACTCTGTGAATATTTACATTTAACACATAACGCTTAGAAAAGTTAAAAGTCAGTGAACGTGGGAACAGTTATTTAATATGACTTAGCTCGTACTTGAATACGTGGTGATTGTGCGTAACTCATTCATTTGCACATTCAATATATTGTTCTATTCCCAGCTGATTGTCACGTAGGACGAGTCAGTATAGACCAAGGTATGACTTCTACTTAAGATCTTATGGAAAAAATATTCACACCACAACGAATCTCCAGTATGTCATAAAAAAGTAAAGGCATTTTAAACAATTATCTATGCAATATACTCAATGTCTGTTGACCAGATACCATCAGCACCAGCCTACTGCGGGAGAGAAAAAAAGAGCTTTTAGGTGAGGAGGAAATCTGGAAAAGACATGTGTTGCGGAAATCATCAAACTGCACTACGAGGCATGTGCTAACCTGGAAACCTGAAGAGAAAAGGAAAAGTTGAGGGACGAAGGACACACTGTGTCGGGAAATAGAATCAGACATGCAAAGCATGAATAGCAACTGGGAAGGATTGCCTAGGACAATGTTTTATGGAGAATGCTTATGAATGTCTTATGCTCTTCTCGGTGGGTAACAGGAGCAATTAAGTGAGCAAATAAGCAAGCAAAGAAGTAAGCATCTTCAAGGTGGATATGTCAGAAAATACATCAAATCCTACCGTTTACCATATGGATGTCTTCGGTTTATATGGAGGTTATATTCTTTATCATCTTGATTTCGAAAAACAATACGACTGTTGAGAAGATAACACTAAAATCTGTGAGTGAGAAATAATTGCAGCATTTTGCTCGCTCATACACGCTCTTCCTACAACCCTTAAAATGGTCGTCAAGAAAAGTTAGTAAACCTTTTAATTAACAGAGGGTCATAATTCAATAACGATACTAAATCCTAGCGTAGATGAAGACTAGAAATTCAGTTCAAACTTCGCAATGATTCTGTCATCTCTAATCCAACTGAAAATTAAGACGTCCCACATAATACACAGGCCAGAATATGTCGGATATCGTGAGTGAAAATGTTTTAGATCAAGGCCACCACATTTACTGGGCTCACAGTCGAGAACCTTTTCATACATAAATCAACTGAAGCTCTAATACTTTGGATTTCTGGTGCTAAAGAGATAGTGTCTTGTAAGGCAGTCATTTTCCTGGGTATGAAAGAGACATGAGGTATCATACTTAATAAGTACACTAATTGAAGTCTCTTAAAGTAATTCCTTCTAAGTCTCCTTTAGTGAAAGGAGGGTGATTGTAAACTGAATTGAAAGAATCAGAATAAAAAACACTTCTGGTGATTTTTGTAAGTGTGAAGCATGCTAAGACTCAATAAGTAGCTGGATTGGTCAGGTTTTTGATATTGGAAGAGCAGTGGTGACTGCAGCGTATATTTGGCGATGACCAATATATCGGAATTCTCTGATCTAATCTGGCTAGCGATTGCGGTTGATGTTGAGCACGGCGTTACCACACGTGATCTGGTGCGGATGCCTGACCGAGCGCCTTCAGCTAGATGAGTGCACTTAAACATATGGTCAGCATCCAATATCGAAAACTTACAGAGCTATTTATTTTGGGGATTTATTTACCGCCACACAATTATCTATATAAGGTTACATCCAAGTCACGGACTTCAGACAAGAAGTATCAACTGTCAACCTATAGACACATCAAGTTTACCCAACAAAATGAGTGGGTTTCATGGATCAATTGATGTATATATTTCCCATATTATAGACGCAACAGAAATCTGGGGTTCCTTTCAAGTAACTGACCATTCACTAGTTTTAGAAAGCATATATTATTTCTCAGTAGGTGGTCTAATTCAGACTCATTAAATACTATGAAACGACTTCAGTCCTAATGTCCCTGGATTTTTCTTCAAGTAAGTCGGGACAATCCGAAGGACACAGCAAGTGCAATCAAGAGCCAAAGACGAATACGACTTCCCACCATGTAATCAACTCTTGAAACCAACTAGTGAAAAAATTGGTGCCTGCACCTTAGATTGGATCATTTGAAAAGACACAAGATACTCACGGAAGCTTACTCACAAAGAACTAAGAAAGCATCAAGCCTTCACAACAACTGTCTAACACCATGTTGTGTATAGTTAAAACTGTTTATAGAAAGCCCACTGGCAGCAGATATCACAATCAGATGATCAAATAACTAGCCTTACACTTAGGACTGTGATATAATTACATCTATTAATTAAAACGTGCCTAAGTACGTTTCATGATTCAACGCCCCCCGTAGTTATGGTTACGGAGGCAGAGGATTTTCAAAAGATGTGTAGTAACGTTGAGATGAAGAAACCGATTTTCGGTAGGGTAAATCATAACAGCTTCATTGATATCCACACACGAGACTCAAACGCTACTTACTTTCGCCTGCCATAAACGTGTTAAGAAATGATGCCTTATAACTGGTTTGTTTTTCATGTAGATGTACCTCTTTATATTAATAGACATAGAGAATTGGATGCAAAATTATACTAGTATTTTTCAACGCGCGTTAATACTTCTTGCGACGTGTCCAAACAATAACATACTGCCAACTTATGATGGCTTTCGTAATAAACATAATTGTTTTCTCGAAATAAATCTGTTTTAAGCATTCAGGTTGACCGGACTTGAAGTTCACATTTTCCAGAACGGTTGATGAATAGTCTTTATCCTTGTGAAATGTAATTTTGTAGAATCGTTAAACAGTATGTCTCATCCTTTAAGTCTGATGGTAAAGCAACAGTGTTAGTTTAAAAGTGTTGAATGTCTACTAGAGAATGTTCAAAAATTGTGAGTATAGAATTGTGGAGATTTTTGAGTTTCATTGAAATCATAAACAGATCAACGTAGAACATCATTAGAAAACTAGAAGCACTGAGCTGCCATTTAGTCCCAGTATGGGGCTCAAAAGATTACATGTACATTACCTCACAAGCGGTGATAGAACCCAGAACTTTCGATCCTGCGCCTATATATATATAACTACCAATATTATGTTCATCATATCGAAAGTGAAATGAACTATTCCAAACAATACGAATGACTGGAAGTTGATAATTTATTCAGTGTTTTTTTTTCGGAATTTTATACAATGAATAATAAAGAATAATTATACCAGTATAGTTCATAATTACTTTCATGCATGAACAAGAAATAAAAAACAAATTCTAAATAAAAGGATTACCTGAAGTGTTGTATTACTTTGGTTTATTCGGAGAGGAAGATATCACACTTATTAACACAGGTAGGATTGCCAATTGACTAACACAGAGAGTACCAAACTTTGGTGACATTTGAATGCACTTTATTTCATATCATTTACATAGATAACCTTCTTAAACTCTTAACAGTCACTACAACATATGAAGTAATATTGCAGCTAATATTTCTGTATGAAATTTTGTTGGATTAAGATTTTCAAATGTAAACTATATTTGTTTCTTAGTTTTTAAAAAGAATGAGTATATAAAGCAAAACAAATTTTACCTGATAAAGTATTCATAAAAAATTTCAAGTTATGATATATAATTCATATGTGTGCTGGCTAAATTAGATGTAAATAGACTCATGTTTCTACGTTAAATGAAGTTCACACACAGTCAATTAATGAATTATGCATAATTTAAAGAAACATATTATAGAATATGATGAAACAATCGTTAGTGATATGAAATTTATTCCTATGTACACCTCTCAGTGAGTCAGCTACGACGTAGGATCAGGCACATATATGCATCGGTCCAAGTTGCCATACCTCATTAATACAACAAGATGAACACCGGATTCATAAAATTAGTTAATGCAGAGGTGGTAATATATAAAAGAAAGATTGCAATAAGGATATAGTACAAGAAGAAAGAATTAGTTCGGAGAAAGAAAGATATGAAGCAATTTTAATCTCTTAGTTTAAAGGAAGACAAAGAGTGTATACGCCTACGCCATTGTGATCGATCCTGAGCCATGTCACCAAGAATCTCCAGCCATTGGTTACGATTGGCACGCGGACCCCAACCAAGTAATCTGCATCTCCCAACATGGCTCGGACTAGAAGTTATTGACACCTCTGCAATGTATCATGTTGTTTATGACTAAACGACTGATAGACAGATCAACAAATAGATCTGTTCACATTAACGATCATATAATTCTCACATTTCGTAAACTCTCTTTATTGATAAATAATTATTAGTTCAAATCTATGAAGTCGAACCTTAGGTTACAAATAATTAATTTTTAACCAAAAGAAATCTTTATAAACCTATAATTAATTGAATATATGCGGTATTGTAGAGCTCTGAAGATGAACTTATTTCAAAGGATTCTTCCAATGCATTGATTACTTTAGAATTAATGTGCACAAAATTATTATTTGCAGTATTTCTTATATATAACTGATATAAATAAAATGTTAGTTCATGGAATTTTCATTTTAGGAATGTGGTACAGTAGATCCTCATGAAAATGTTTCAAATTATCATAATTATTTATCAAGAGAGATTTCTACTAATAGTATAGAAAAATATAACTTAAATGAAAATTTAAGTGATTTACAAACTGTTAGTGAAATTTTTCCGAGTTACCCTGTTTCGAACTATAACGGTTCACGTCCAGGAGCATTCTTTTCTTGGCCACGGAATATTACAGGTAAGTGATTATTAAAAATTATTGTCGAAAGAATTTGTAGCTAATCATTGATTCACTAAAATATAACTTCTAATGAAATAAACCGAAATTTATACTGAAATATTAATATATGATACCATAACCCCATAAACAAAATAGATCTGTTTAAAAGTAAACCCCCAAATGCCCTGGTATAGCCGAGGGTGAGGAGAGTAAGCTCTCCCACTCAAAATGCTCCCACATGGCCTCGTACATACAACCACTGCAAGGGAAGTCCTACTCACTGCATTCTAGAACAACGGGTGTTGTTTACAAAATTGAGAAGATGAAAAGCGAATGTCCGGCACTTTAACTGGTTTGGTGGACACAGAGGGTCCACCTAAGTGAGTTGCGAAACTCTGATTACAAACCAATGGTGAACATGGGACCCAGGATCCTGAAGGAACTAGATCTTTCAATTTAATTTACATTATTTCAATCAACTTCTTTATACTTTACAGAATTCTATACTTACTTACTTACTTACTTACGCCTGTTACTTCCAGTGGAGCATAGGCCGTTGACCAGCATTCTCCAACCCACTCTGTCCTGGGCCTTCTTTTCTAGTTCTATCCAATTCTTGTTCATTTTTCTCATGTCTATCTCCATTTATCGGCGTAGTGTGTTCTTTGGTCTTCCTCTTTTACTTTGACCTTCAGGATTCCATGTGAGGGCTTGCCTTGTGACGCAGTTGGGTGCTTTCCTCAGTGTGTGTCCTATCCACTTCCAGCGCTTCTTCCTGATTTCTTCCTCCGCTGGAATCTGGTTTGTTCTCTCTCACAGTACGTTGTTGCTAATAGTGTCCGGCCAATGGATCTGAAGTATTTTGCATAGACAATTGTTAATAAACACCTGTATTTTCTGGATAATGGATTTCGTAGTTCTCCAGGTTTCTGCCCCATACAGTGGAACTTCTTGACATTTGTATTGAAAATCCTGACCTTGGTGTTGGTTGACAGTTGCTTTGAGTTCCAGATGTTCTTCAATTGTAAATATTCTGCTCTTGCTTTGCCGATCCGCGCCTTCACATCTGCATCAGATCCACCGTTTTCATCAATCATGCTGCCCAGACAGGATACTATAACTCAACGTAAAAGATTTATTAAATCCATGCGTTCTAATAAAACTCTTAAATTTTAGTTCAGATCATTACCTACTTTTCGAAATATTCAAATTCACTAAATAAACAACTGTTAAGAATTTTTTTAGAATCAGTCTAAGTATTAAATACATAATTCTAAACTGTCTCAGCCTTTAATGAATGCTGATGGTTTGTCGAAGAGATAGTTGATGTAAAATTTCATCTCGAAACTACGATTAGGAGAAACGCTCAAATGTTTCAAACAGGAAAATCAACTTTAAAAATAGCATTGATAAATGAATTGTCATCAATTGGTATTTATTAGCACTAATTAAGTCAAGTAGGTTTTTGAAAATGTTTCAACACCATCAATTTAAGCCAGTAACGAGTTTAGAATAATACAACAAATATAAGTAAAACCGAAAAAACCCAGTTATTACCGAAATTATTGTTTACAAAATTAAGCTATTTTTGTTTCATTTTCTGTAAGAACACTTTCCGTTAATGTGTTAGAATTTATTCCTATATATGTTTCTTACCGATTGAATTTTAATGAAACACCATGTTTCCATTTTAGTTAAGACATCTTTTTACGTCACATTCTTGTAATTATAAATTTTTCTTGAATTTCTATTCAGGTGAAAGAGTAGAAAAGTATGATAGTCGAAGTATATCTTGCAATGCTCTACTTGGAATTGAAATAGAACATCGTCCGCCAACAAATATTCCAGGACCAATTAAAATGGCATTTGGTAGAGCTGCACCTGGTTATTATGCACAAAAATATCCAAGTAGATATTCCTGAAAAAAATTTATTTATTAATAAAAAATTTTGCGGATGGATTCGATATGGGCACTCATGAGTAAACTAATGAAATTTAGACCTGATAAGTTTATATTATACGCTAGCTGGTTGTCAGGTGGTAAACAGACCAATGAAATAGTTCTCTTTCACAACAACAACTACTACCGATAGAAGTAAAGAAATAAATTTCTGACTAATTATAAAAGTGATAATAAATAAACATTTAACTAATTAACTGAAAATATAATCCAATCAAGTTGAGACCAAGTCGATACTGATTCTAACAAATGAGCTGGCCTTTTTCTCAGTAAAACAACTACGGTCTGGTAATACGTATTATTTATACGGAAATACATCTCCAACATTTATTATTTACTACTTTAGTGTATGTTTAGAAAAGAGGAATCTTGTTATTATTTCTTTTGTACTATAATAATCAACCAAATGAGATAATAGACCTCAGTGTTTACTGTATTTCAATCATATTTGATAGTTATTTTGAATAAAACCAATCTAACTTTTAGCTATGGGATAACGATGAATTGTGTTAACACAAATAACTGATTTTATATTCACCATATTATTACGGATAAAACGGGTTTTCAGAGATTTGTTGACAAATCAGTGTTAATGGCAAAATGATTTTATTGAAACTCAATGAAGCCGTTGTCCTCTGATGATATTAGAAAGAGACAAATTTATATCAAAAATTGACAGAGACTGAAAAATTTTAATTATGGAACTCTGACTGAGTGACTGAATAATATCAGACCTACTGTGAGGATTGAAGTTATTGAATTCTGTCCTCCGTGTGATCTTGGGTACTCACCGTTTATTGAATCATATAAAATAGAAGAAACTATTATTTTAGTGCTACCTATTCTTTAATGATTTTCCGCTCCTTATTAATCCATTATGAAAATCGCCCTCAAATCATTTCATAAAGCTACTTTTTGAAGTGGCTAATATAGAAATCCATATTTTAAGTTACTGGCCAATCAGGTGCCCCTCCCAACCAAACTGACTGGTGAAGCCAGTTGGCTCTTATTTAAAAGGCATGCGTAGAAGCACAACACAATGAAGTAACAAATATTTCTCTTCACATGTAATTTTATAGCTATTGCATGGAAGAAACAAATGATTAATTATAATGAGAAGTAGATTTTTATAAAGTTATCCACAAACCAAGAGATTTATACTAAGTTATGGTACATGTTCCGTTGGTGTTAGTGATGATGAGAATAACTTTATATCCGAGTAGTTGAATTGATTTTTTTATTTGGAGGTTGATCAGATGGCATATTAGTTACTAGCTATAAAAAAAACTCGAGATAATTCATTCAGTAAATAAACATACTTACTTGTAAAATATATTTTCCCCCATATTCTCTTATTTGTTTTAGGTAAAGAAACATGGTTCAATTCCAATGCATTGCATCGTCATATACCTATAATAAGATTTAATCCATTTTCACGTAATCTAGATAACTATAAAAACTATAACAATGAATATAAAGAATATTTATATAGAGTAAATGAATTGACAGAATATCAAGATAAATATTTAACAAATACTCCATCGTTATGAAAACAAATCAGATAATCCTGTTTTAACTTTGAAGATATAAAAGAAAATCATACACACACGTAGACACATAAATTGTAGGTTAGTGACTTGACCTTGAGGATGGGTCAAGAAGAAGTAAAAAAATAGACACACTCTTCTGTTTTTTTTCTTGTTTTTTTCACTTTCATTTCATTTCATTGATTAACTTGTGCAAATAATGTTCGTTGTCTCAAGCAGTTTTTCACATCAATTCATATAAACAAAATGATGGGCTATTTGAAGATTTGTGATTGTTTTCGTTTTTTTTGGCTTATACCGTCATAGGCATAAAGTTGATTAATTATTAGAAACTGTATTGTTTTTAATATAGAATAAAATAGATTTAATAAATTTGATTTTGTTTGATTGAATAAACTATCATTTCAATTTTAGCTTGAATTTACAAGGCGATAAGTGTTGATATTAAGCGAATAATTCTATAATTCATCAGGTTGTATCCGCTACATTGAAAAAAACTGAGATGAATTGTACATTGTCTAAGAGTCCTATAGTCTAGTACTAAGCAAATATTAATGAACTATGATAAATAAATGGTTTATTTAACTGGGTGACAATAAAAAAGCATGACTCGTAAATACTTTTAGTTGTCATTGAAAATATGGCTCCCTATATCGCTTTATAGCCAACTTTACATGCCCATTTTAAATATCGAGCGAAAATATTGTACATTTCAATCCTTATTCTAATTTACTCAACTCATAATTTGAGCATTAAAGATTCTTGACATTGCATGTGAAACCAATAGGAATACCATATCATTCAAACAACATTATTCTATTTCATTTCTCATTAGTAACAGATTATTATGATGAATGGAAATATTGAATCGTTTAATCGCTTTTCATATTAAAGCGAATATTTAGAAAGATATCTTCGTGAAAACTGATTATCACTTAAATATAACTGGAATAACGATTTAGTATAACAAGCAAAATTCGATATGTTGACTGGTATTCTAGATTAAATGTTTTATTAAATTCAAAGAATTTTTCTTAAGTAACCGAACACAGTCAAGGATATGTTTAGAACAATCTGTTTGTTTAATATGGTAATATAACATGTTGGGTTTGTTAGTGTTTCAACAATAAGTTTGATAAGACTTAATTATGAATATGAATTGTTCTTTAGATTATGATAATTACATGGTATTTATTTTGTAAATTAATTTCTCTGACTAGTTGAAATACATATCAACAATGAGAAAGCATAAATTCTCACGAAAACGAAGTGTTATACACATTGAACAAGTGTTAGTGAATTACTAAATAAGATAGTTTTAATAGATAAAACACGATGACATTTGAAGTAATAAGTACTTGGTTCAAATAGCAGTGTGAACACTAACATTGAGATGGAGGTATATGTAGGTGACAAGTCATAAATTTGATTAAAACCATAACCACGAACTTACCGCCAGTCATAATTCAGAGTGCAATTAAACCTATAACTACTATATATATATATATATTCCATGAAAAATCAATCCAAATTTAATTTCGAATATTACCTATACTTAAAGGACAGATCTTTTATGAAGATTTAAAAATAGTTTATATCAGCATTCTTTATATTTACATCTAACAGTCATTTTCCGAAATTTTCATTATACGAATGTCAGTTGATTTAGTTCATATATACAATAACGCCTTGGAGACTAAATTCTCATCTAAAAATCCTGTACAAACCTTCATATATTATTAAGAAGAAGTAGAACACATCTATCCTTTAATTTACTAGCTGAATTCATCAGTCAATCGGAGCTAGACCACCATGGAAAACCTGGAAGCACTAGACGACCGTTCTGTCCTAGTTTTGCACTCCTCAGCAGTGCACATCCACAACCCCGCCTCACGGGATTCAAATCCAGGACCTATTAGTCTCACGCCAGGCGCTTAACCACTATATCACTGAGCCGGCATCCAACGGTGTTAATGTCTAACTTCAACTAATCCACGTAATTGAGTGACACATCCACCATTGTTATCAGTAAGTGACTATCTCACAACTGACCCGGTTGAACTCCATTGGTCTAGCTTCAATAGACTCATGATCTTAACTGTCGAAATTACTACAATCTCCACAAAACCCATTTTGATACATATTTATCTAACAAGAAGTGATTGACTATACAGACTTATCAATTTACTGCATACTTCTTTAACATTTGATAAGGTTAGTCTGTGGTTCAGATTTCAGCAGGAACATTAATACCTTGTGTTGTAAACAAACAAATTCAGATTATCATTTCTAAAAGGAGCAAAGTATATACGTTCTTTATTATACAAAAAGATTCTAACTTACTAGAATTTTATAAATAAATTACGAATTTACACGTTTTTATACCTACCGTCTTTCAAATCAATCAAAAATCTAGTAACTTAGGTTTAAATGAAACATTTATGAAATTATCAATTTGATATCTTTCCAGAATAATTGAATATTTCAGTAATGAATTGATAAAAAGTATGTTTATTTAGTGTGTGTTTGACAACAATGGAGCTAAAAGTGTGATGTGCGCTACTTATATTGACATAAGTAGTGTATGATGTTAGTCGTGAACAGAAGCTCTGGCAGCAGAGAGACAAGAGGATCGAACAGTAACGAATGGAAAACGGATGCATTTTGTATGAAAATGCAGGGACAATGAAGTCTGAGTCATTTTAAGACAATTGATGGACATTTTGCAAATTACGTATTGACTTTATGATTGTTAGATTTTATTAACAAGTCCTGTAATTTCGTGTTAAGTACATTCGATTGTTCTGTTCACTACAAAAGAACTGGCTAAAATTGGAAGAAAACAAACATCTAATTTCACGAATTAGGTAGTCATGAATATCTGTCTGATATTTTACTCAGTTGAATAATTTGTTTATTTTTTAAAAAAGGAAGGTTGTTTGAGATGGTGGAGAAGGTTATTTCAATTTATTTTAATTTAAATCACTAGTCTTTCCTTTTCAGTGTAGATTGAAATGATTACCATTATTTAAAGTATTATTTTCATTGTATTTATTCTATTAAATTTCGATAGATCAATTAAAAGACGAAGTTGATCTGAAAAATGTAATGTATTTGAGCTATACATTTCGAACAATTTGATCACATATACGTGTCAGGGCATTTTTTCCATATGAAAGTTAATAAAAATCAATTATTCAAATAAAAGTTTAAGTGAAAAAAGGCAGCATAAAGGAGAGAAACACTTTACATCGTATAGAAAGAATAAGAAATTGTCACATTATCCTAGGCCATAAAACTATGGTGTGGGTTACTTATAACCACATAAGTAGAATGTATTTCAGTAGAAGATCGATAAGAAAAGAACGGGAACGGAACGCAGTTGGTATGAAAATGCATGAACAATGAGATTTGAGACAATGGACTGATATTTGCAAAGGGAACAGTCAAGTTTGAGACGATGGGTTGATATTTTGCAAATAATCGATTTAGTTAGATGCTCTGTAATTTCGTATCATATACATTCTGTTGTCCCAACTCGTATTCTTGTTCACTGCAAATGACTTGCATTCCATTGAATTACGTAAACCAATAATTATAGACTAGTAATATTAAGATAATTGTTTTTTTTCTAGAAATTAGATTAGTATAAATTATTTGTTTTTCTCGTGATTATTATTGTAACTAACCTATCAAAATTTTAAATAAGTTATCATTAATTTATCAGTCTTTGAATTATTATGTTTATGAAGGAAAAAGTCAAAAGAGAGATTTTAATCAGAGAAGGGTTTTTCTGGATACTATAGTAATTTACTAGTTGAATTCATGAGACAATTTAAGCTTGACCACCATGGAAAACTGAGTCTCTGGTGAGATAGTCACTTACTGACAACAATGGTGGATGTGTCACTCAATTACGTGGATTAGTTGAAGTTAGACATTAACACCGTTGGATGCCGGCTCAGTGATATAGTGGTTAAGCGCCTGGCGTGAGACTAATAGGTCCTGGATTTGAATCCCGTGAGGCGGGGTTGTGGATGTGCACTGCTGAGGAGTGCAAAACTAGGACAGAACGGTCGTCTAGTGCTTCCAGGTTTTCCATGGTGGTCTAGTTTCAATAGACTCATGATCTCAACTGTTGTGATAAATATATATCAACCGTTATTACAACTTAATTTGATGTAGATTGCATACTGGAGAACGAGTTACATTTGCGGATAGTTAATTGTAACTTGACATATTAACTGTCTAATAATTTAATCCGGAATATATATATTCTATTTGATTCTTTTTTTGACATAATTAAACTTCAGAGGAAAATTATCGACAACTTCAGTGTAAAATAAGATTGAATACACTATTCTGCATCAAATCAAATTTAAAACGAATCACTAATATCCCCTATTTTAGATAAAATCATTGTTACACCTTGAATATCCCAGTTGTTAAAAAGGATTTGAGAGAAATAAACGTTTTGTGAACTAAATAATTCCAAATTAAAGTACACTATATGATTATAGTATCATCTTGTCCGTAAGCGAAAAAGCTGTAGAAAGTTGATATCTATCTGGAACAAAATTGTCATTTGTGTACATTGTTAGAGTTATCTCCTAGTGTATTATTTAGTGGTCAACAGATCACAAACAACAGTCATAGTGACAAGAACTCAGTTATTATAATACACGTGGTTAAAATAGTGATAGAATATAATGGCAACTCGTTGTGGTGCCGTCTGAAAATGCTTTTTGTCTCCAGGATGAAATCCGCAAGAAACTAGTATTTTGAATGTAAGTAATTAAATCATATAAATAATGCTTCTCCAACAAACCACTGGTAATGGTAATGCGTTTTGTCCAATAACATATATGTTGTTACAGTAAGGAATTATCTGCACCTATTGTGCAATATTCAAATAAGTCAGTGTTGAACATGCATTCAAACGGTAATTAATCAATAACATATTTTGTAGATGGTTTTAAGTTATAATTCGCCAACTATCATAAATTATGACAGTTTCCCATCCTTTTATTTGCTACAACTATATTTTTCATTCACCCTTATATAAGATGAATGGATTGTAGTACATTCCACTCTCCTTTTGTCAAAGGATAGATAAGGAGGAGAATATCCCAAGAACTACTAAATGCTATGATGAATTAATTGACATAAAGTGTTCGTGAAGTAGTTCCGAAGCCAGAATGCCCAGGAGTGATGTCGTCCACACAATTGGAAAATTAAAATTTAGTCCCCAAGTTCGACAGTCGGAAATTCGGGGTAAGGCTTGATGCTTACGATAGTAGAAATTAAGAATTATTTAACATGAATGCGACTGAACCGGACACTGACTTAGAAGTTCATGCTTACCTCAGGGAGCTTAGGTCCAATAAAGATAAAAATCATGCCAATTTCATCGCGTCCAAAATTTTAAATATGATCAATTTTCACAAAGCACTCAGTGTTTTTGGAAAATTCTATGACGAGCAGTCATTGAATTTCAGCATTCGTTATAGTTATATACAAACACCTGACAAAGCTGATGATGTCTATCTTGTTTATTCGGACAAAGTGAATTTCAGATACAAAAATGTAGACCTTGTCTCAATATTACAAAGTGAGTCCAATTGCAACATACCTATATATAGAATGTAGCCACCTACTGATCTTAATGAGCATAACGCATATACAAATATCCCCTCCAAATGCTTTATAGACAAAGTAAGAGTACATGAATCACATGTTTTGTTACTGACAGGTCGAAATATAAAATGTGCTTGTTCATATTGTGAATGGAATAATGACATCATATTTTTCGGTACGAAAGGTGAAAAAATCACCATGTATAATATTACCTATACACGACAAGATCATATAAAAGAATCCTTCAACCGTTATGTATGACTACATGCCGCAATACTCTAAATATAATGAAGGTGTGAGTAGTGTTGAGACACTTCAGGCCAATAAAGTCACATTAATTAAAGAACCAATATTGTTTCGTACGGGAGGGAGTCATTTACACGTTGAACGAAGGAGCAGAGCATAGATGTCAGGAGCTAAAGTCAATTTTTTTTTCAAAGAAAGCTGAAAAACAAACTGGAAGTTGGGACACAATAATGTAACCGACCGAAAGCTTATTCCTATGTATTCCATGAAAAAAGATGAGGTGATACGACAGGAAGAAAAGACAAAATCACATTATTTTACCCATTGTGATTTTTGCTCAGCATTGCTTCCGCGTTTTAATTCAATGTGACGATTATTTAAGATTAATATTTGTTTTATAAGCAGAGATGGATGGTGGCTAACAGTGGAATCCAGGAGGCGCGTTTCATCCTATTTTAGGATAACGTCCTGGATTCCAATGCTAGCCACCATCTACCTCTGTTTATAATGTTTGTGACTTATGGTAATATCGAGGCAATCCGCTCAGGATGCATATATGCTAATAAGAAACTGATCAATCGCTGTCCTAAACACCAATGGAAAAATTCAAACAACTCATACAAAAAAAGAACTAATATTTGTTTTGTTTCCCAGTGAGGTATTTTATTCGTTATAACACTAATGTATTTGAGTGTGTTGTTCATTCAAGATACGATATTCTTGTATAAAATTAACATGAACTGTGCGCAGCATGACACGCAGCATGTGATTTTATAAATCTGGGTATTTCTTATACAAGTGATTGTATCTTAATTAATAATCAAAATGGACGAATAATCAGTATACATTGAGTGCATTTTCGACTACGGTCGTCATGTTTTGGATTTAATAAGACTTCACTTGTACCAGTCCTGGTGTGCTTACTTCACATCGTGGGAATTGCAGTGGTTTCTCGTTTTTCTAAGTAAAAGAATACCCAACGTGAACATAACACGTTTGTTTTCCAATATTAATAATAGTGGTAAATTCCAGGCATTATACAATGTGTGTGAGTACCTACAGTTGGCATTCATACTTATTTAATTCAAATAAATCATAAACGCGAAGGTCAATCCCAATATTAAAAAAATAGAAAGGGAGGGGGCTCAAATGTTTAAGCACATCATCGGAAGGTTAAATGAAGTGAAATAAAGTAACACGCAACAGAGTCGAGACCTGAACTTCAATTACAAGTTCCACAACCAAAACAACCATGAATCAATCTGACTACAACTTACACACTTTTGAAATAAAACATATTACAAAGCTGTCAGTGATTCTGAACTAACTAACTAAAGTATCGGTCCCCAAATACCCTGGTATAGCCGAGGGTGAGGAGAGTCAGCTCTCCCACTCAAAATGCTCTCACATGGCCTCGTACATACAACCACTGCAAGGGAAGTCCTACTCACTGCATTCTAGAACAACGGGTGTTGTTTACGAAATTGAGAAGATGAAAAGCGAATGTCCGGCACTTTAACTGGTTTGGTGGACACAGAGGGTCCACCTAAGTGAGTTGCGAAACTCTGATTACAAACCAATGGTGAACATGGGATCCAGGATCCTGACGGAATAAATGGCGTATGAAACAATCGTTGGTCACCGGACACCATGGGGCTGTGTCTCCTGACGTCGCTCCACTGCTTTGTGGATTAGACCTTTTAGGTCAAAGGCTTGGGATGTGGCCCCCTAAAAAACCACCTGCTTCGGTTTGAGCACCCAGGCAGTATCCCAGGCGTCACAAAAATCGAATGATTTGTGTGGTGCATAGCTATTTGGTGCCTCCATGTACCAATGTTTATGTGTTTAAATAAATAACGTATTATTTATATGAATATTCGTCAAGATTGGAACAAATATCTTGACGACAATTGGGCGCCGAGTATAGGGAAGTCATCATATGTAAAATTATATTTGAAATGATCTCACCGATTGAAATTTAAATAATTCTAACGTTTCGTTCATCCAAATTATCTGGACTTCTTCAGGGTAATAATCAAAATTATCAGAGAAATATGAGCGTATGACACCATAAGATCGACATAAGTTAAAGTTAAAGTTATGTTACCAAAGGAAGAACGACAAAATATTGTCTATTAGATCAACTGTCATGATTGTAATACAGCTTATGTGGGAGAAACATCCAGGCGACTGAATGTAAGGTTAAAGGAACCTAAACAGTGTTTGAAAAATGTCCCCAAATCCTCGGTTGACCTAAAGAAACTTGAGAATAAGTCTGCGATAATGTTACATGCGTTGGAAACAGGACACAAGATTAATTTTGAAGGGACCAAAATACTTCAGAAATGTTTTAACACCCATGAAGAAGGATTGACAGCAGAAGCGCTGTATATATGGGCAAACAAGAACAGCTTAAACCGAAAGGATGATACTCACTTAGCAGCTACTTGGCAAATATTCATTGACAAGTAATTGGACCCTTTCTTTATTCGACCTGTTTATTTCACGTGCATCGTTATCTTGACTGAAGTTAATGTGAGTTATTTTTAGCAATACAGTCACGCATTTGATGAATCTCATTTTACATGCACATCAATGATTCAGAAACGATTTTTCAACCTTTAACTTTCACTTTTATTTTTTCCTTCATATAAAAACATTAACACCAAGTATCAATCATTAATAACCCAATCTTACACACACTATTCGTTTAGCCATTTATTTTCACATCGTGAACTTTTCAAATGATTCGCATTTAACTGACTCATGTTATTCTAATTACTAAAATCAACATCCAAATATGATTGGATTAACACAGTATAGATTTGATCTGATTTGATTGTTAAAACGCTATATACTTCTTTGGTGATTTTGATTATTATCCTTAAGAAGTCCAGACAAGTTTGCTGGACGAAACGTCGGAATTATTTTGAATTTCAATCACTGAGATTATTTCTGATATAATTTTCACACATACTAACGAATTATTATTAGACTTTCCATTTTGTTAGTTGTCTGTTTCACTATGCCACGCAGTGAAATCTGACAACTTGAATTGATGCGCAAGTGTGTTGCATCCTACATTGCTGCCCATCACCAACCGTTTTATACAAAAGGAAAATAAATCAAATGATCCAAGACTATTCAACACAATTTATAGATTTAAAATACCAAAAAATCTGATATAGTCGATAGTAATAATAATAAACGTAATAAGTTTCAATTATAATGATAGATACTGTATAATATAGAAGATAAATCGTATATGAATGGCAACAGCGATGAATTTTGAACCTGTTTAGTAATAATAAATACTGTCAAATAATGTGGAACAACAGATTATGTTCAGTGAATAAAAAGAAGTAAATCGTGTTCATCTCTCTCAAGAACACCTAGAATGGTGTATAAATTGAAGAATAAAGGTGAAGTTTGCTTTGAACCATACATAAGTTATAGAAAAAGCTTAATAATCTTTCAAGGGATGAAAGAAAATATATATGTGAAGTTTTGAAGAATAACATCAAACGGTAAATATGTGAGACGTTTTGCGAATAACTATTCATGCTACTTATTACTGATTAATAGTAGTAGTAATTGTTAATGGTGCTGATATAGTTGAAGGAAAATGAAATGTACTGATATAAGGGAGAAAAATTAGAATTGAACACAAATTACATTTTGTAGACATGTTTAAATAAAAAGAGAAAATAAAGGTAATTAATAAGGCAAGAAGCTAAAACTGAGAATGTTATTATAGCACTAAGGTAGTAATCACAATAAGAGTATGTAGGCGATGGAATTATGTAGGAAGATAATATTTGCTAACTTTATTATGACTTTTCTCAGGGAATGAGTCAGCTCCAAAGAAAACAAAATATGAAACAGAACAACAGACATTTCCTTGAAATGTTTACAGAAAGACAACGTTATAGTTTGCAAAAATGAAATAATAAAGGTAAACATGATTGGATGAACAACTTCCCAGTACGGTGGGCAGAAGAGGCAGACGATGATGATGAAGGAAAGTTGTACATAGATAAAGAGAAAAAATACACTAAATACATGTATATATTACCTTACACACAGACATACACGAATGCATATTATACGAAGAATAAATATGTAACGAAAATAGAGGGAAGAAATTAAATAAACGCAATTCAGCAGGCGCTAACAAGTATGGAAAGCTGATGTGATATGGAATAGTAAGAAAATAAACAGAAAACGCGATAATCAGCTGAGGATCAGCGAAGAGAAGGAAGAACAACACAGCACCCAAAAAAGAGAAGTAAGCAAATGAAAAAAAGACTCATAGCACTAAACTCTTAAACAAATAAAGCGGTAGTAGTGATGGGAGGAGCAGCAGACAAAAAATCGAAAGGCAAGAACAACTGACGGAGTAGCCAGTGTCATTGTATCAGGATTCAGCAGTAGTGAAATGAACAACAGAATAAGAAAATGGTTAGCTACGTTTACATACAGGATGTGTCAGTGTAACTGAATAGGCACCAAGTACTGGAACAAGTGTTCGTGCATAATGATAAATCATTTGTGAAACACTTGCATACGGTTGACTATATTCTCCTAGAATAAATTGACCAGTACTATTTCGTGTAATTTTCATATGTAAGAAGGATTTATGTCTGAAGTGAAACATAATTACAAAAAAAAAGGAAAATCAAGCGGTGTTTATACCATTGGTATTAGTACAAATTATAGTTTTTTCAATTATATTGACTCTGTTATGATTCCTAACCGTGTTAAGCATAAAGGCCTAATCAATTTACAATCATATGTGAAAATAATATGACAGACTGATACAAATTATTGTGTGACCTTTTTCTGACCTTTGCATGTTTCGTTGTGAATTTACTGATTAGAGTATATTCGTGAACGTCTATACTTTTTTTGGCAGATATTATTCCTTCTCTATTTTCACTTATGTACTTGTGTTGATTGTTCACTGTTAACGTCGAACATATTTTAATTGTTCTCATTTTATGTGTGTCTGGCATATACACTCAAATTAGTTATCTATAATTCATGCATTATTTACACCTTATATAAAAACTAAATCACGTATTATTCACTAGGCAAGTTATGCAGTTACTCCTGTTTGCATCTATGCAACTTTCATATTCACTCGGTTCAGTTTACCGTGGTCACATGAATATATCTGAAATATACACGTCTTGAATGTAATTCGTATTCGGCTTTCTATTTCTATATTGTATCAACGTGGTTAGTCAACAGAAGATATACGAAGTTAAATAGGCAGTATGTATTTAATTAGCACAATCGTTTAATCATATTAGTCAGAAAACAGGCACTAAAACTCATTCAATTGCTTAACTGCCAATGGCATGATCAAAGTTACTAAAAAACACTTTAGACATTCTAATTACTGTATGTACTAAAAACAGATGAGTAGGATTCAAGTAGGTCGTAAATTATCTAGTAGTAAATTGTACGAGAGGGATAAGAATTAATTCAAATATCCAACGAGAAGCTGTATTCTGTGAAATCAGTGAGGTAGGAAGTAATAGGGGACAAATAATCACCGATAACATTAAATCATATCCAAACTATAAAAAGTGCAAAATAATTATAATTATTATGAGTAACTGGATTTAAAAGTGAGACATTAAAGTTAACTAAGGCTTTACGATACTATTGCAATATCCCCGTTGCTGCTGTAGTATAATGTAGCTTCGGAATAAAAATAAGACAGTTTCCGGTAAACTACCAAAAGATCTCAGTTAATTGAAATGGAAAATATCTTTTAATTACCAGGCGAAACTGGGAACGTGAACGAGATTTGATTTACACTTGACATAATTTACAAGGTTCTATGTTTAATGAAAAACCCTTAGGTCCTGGGTCCAACCACAAGGAAGATTATAAATGAGCACTACTGATAAGTTTCATACACAAATACAAAACAGCTATTCTGTGCTGTCTTGTACTAATTGATTTATGAAATGCTATCTCTTCATGATGAAGACTAATATGTAAAGACGAAACGACACAATATTTTACGCAATATGCAGAGTAGTTACTCGGCGGTTAAGGCACTCAATACTCAGCCATCAAGTCTCGGGTTCGAACAGCACTCTATCTACTTTGGTTTGGGAGACCAGGTGTTATACTCAGAGCGTGGCTTAAAGCCAAGTAAACTAATCTATACCCTGAATAACAGTAAACCACTCTTCAAAATAAGGCGTTTCATATAGCTTGACAAATCATAGTAATAATCACAATAATAACAGTGACTTACTTAATAGTTAGAGAAAAGTCATTAGGGCATGTTTCACTAGGACGAACAAGAAAACTACCTTCTGGTTCATTCCGTATTAGTTCTTCAGCTTCTGATCTTGTTAATGACGGATGAAACCATCTATTATTTTTTTTTAGTAAAATATACACAACATTAATAGAAATACTGGCGGAAAAAATGTTATATTATTATTATTGACAAAAAGGAATTAATAGATAATAATACATAATAAAAGAATAAGTAATTATTAATTAAATTAATAAAGGAAATACGTTCATCGTACTATTAAGTTGAAACAAATAAATATCAGAAATAACTTTTTTAATATAAGCCACTAACCATTATTTCTAATTTGAAAACTTTGACATAAACAAACATGGTTAGCCTATTCACACTTGGAGACTGTCACTAGTGAGCATTTGATGATTATAATCAGAGAGTGGGTTTGTGGATATTATAGTAATTTAGCAGTTGAATTCACCATCTTATAGTAATCTAACTTCAATTGACTCATGTTTTCAACTACTAAATTACCATAATATCCACAAACCCCTCTCTCTAATTATAATCATCATATGCTCACCAGTCACGGTCTCCAAGAAGTATTTCTTGGAGTTCTAGCGGGAAGCAGTGATCAGTGGAGTTCAACAGGGTCTGTTGTGAGATAGAAACTCACTGATGACAATGGTGGACGGTGGCGCAATTTCGTGGATTGGTTGAAGTCAGACATTAAACACCGTCAGATAAAGGCTCAGTGGTCTGGAGGCCAAGCATTCGCGCGCGAGACTGATAAGTTTTGGGTTTGAATCTCGAGAGGCGGGATCGTAGATGAGCACTTATGAGGAGTCCCATACTGGGACGAAACGGCCGTCCAGTGCTTCCAGGTTTTCCATGGTGGTCTAGCCTCAATTAACTCATGAATTCAACTACTAAATTATATACATATAACATTGAAAACTCTATCAGATGTAGTGAGTATCACTGCGGAAAAAAAAGAGTAACTGAAGAAGATGAAAATATAAATAATTGTAGAATAATGACATAAACGTTTTAAAAGGATTATAAAATTGATTAAAATCCGTGATTACTTAGAACTTTACAATCTACACTAAAACACTTTTATCATAACACAATTAATTCCATTTTATTATTGTTTTTTTGTTTTGAAAGAAAAAAACATGATCAAGTTAACTTATCTATCGTTAGGTGAATTGTTTATTTTATTATTAATTATTAATTATTAAATGATGATGATAATAAAGCTTATTATTATTAATATAATTTTAGAAAGAAAAAAAACTAGGATTAATCCTGATAGTCAAGTCTTAGTAATAAGTGTTCTAACTTAAATATTTAACGACTTTCGTTTAGGTTTATTTTTTTAAATCTAATATTTTATGTATTTATTATTTATTTTAACGCATTGATATTGGTACAAGGAGGCACCAAATACATATGCACTACACAGATCTCATTTGATTTGTGTGAGGGCTGTGATACTGCCCGGGTGCCCAAACCGAAGCAGGTGGTTATTTAGGGGACCCCACACCCGGAGCCTTCGACCTGAAGGTCTGATCCATAAGGCAGTGGAGCATCGTAAGGAGATGTAGTCCCATGGTAGCCAGCCAGTGACCAACGATTGGTTCATGCACCATTTGTTCCTTCAGGATCCTGAATCCCATGTTCACCATTGTTTTGGAATCAGGGTTTTCCAACTCCCCTAGGTGGACTCTCCATGTCCGCCAACCCGGGTAAAGTGCCGGACATTCACTTTTCATCCTCCCAATTTCGTAAACAACACCTCTGCCACGAGAAGGCAATGAGTAGGACTTCCCCGGCAGAGGCTATATACGCGTGGCCATGTGAGAGCATTTGGAGAGGGAGAGCGGAATCTCCGCACTCTCGGCCGTATTAAGGCATTTCGGGGCAAATTTAATATTCAGTATTTAAATATATAACATTTACTAAAAGAAAGTACATTTTACTGATATTTATCTAATATTCTTGCACTGAGAGAGGGATAGTTTTATTACGTCAATTTGATCTTTACAAGTAATTGTTACTCGGTCAAAATTTAAATCCGTTTAGAGAATCTATTGTATACCCGAACAATATTCCTTTACAACTGAATAAATCTGAATCATAAGTTCAATCACATAATGTAACTAGAAAAAAAACATTGAAAGAGTGAAATTGAATTTGAATATGTAAACCATTAGATGTCAATTTAGTTATCTGAGGACTGAAATGGTCATCGTGAGCCTCGAATGACCAGAACTCTGATTGAGTCGTGGATACACAATGTTGAGGAGAATCATATTGGAACGAAACAGTTGTTCGATGCTTGTTAATTTTCAATAATTGTCTAGTCACAGTCAATTCGTGATGTAAACTTTAAAATTAAAATATTCATGTTCATCTCCTTACCATATATTGAATGTTAATCGTATAAAATTTGAAATTGATGAACTGAAAAAAAAGATTGACCACTGAGAACACCTCAATTTTGTAAGGTTGCAGACAGAATTTACATCAAGTTCTAGGTTTAGAAGGAAACTTAATTGAAATAAACTTCTTTAATATTTTGAAACAATACTGATAAACAACAATGACAAAAGTCATCTCTTTTATTATTGATCCAACGAAAAGATAACTATCAGAATGAGGATTTGTGGTGATAGTAGTAATTTCAATAGTTGAAAAGATAATTGTCAAATGAATTTCGATGTTGATTCGACTGGTGATACAGTAAATAAATAGACATTTTCAGTTCAACAGCTATGATAACAAATCTAATCATTGTATGTTTGTTGGGATATTCAGAAAAATATCCCAAAAATTATTCTGTTAAGTCTAGTGCTATCCTTGGATTTGAGATGGTATCATTTTCCTATTGATCAATACTTATTTCACGTGTCATTTTCCTGTTGGCCAAATATTGTACAAATGTTATTTTCTATTTTATGGTACGATGTGGTCTGCTTGATTGGTATATAAACAGAGTATGTTTGGAATATAATGATTCATATCGCAGAGGCTGCGACTTGTGTTCTGGTCTTAACTGGCTGGGCTAGGTGGAAGGCGGGACCAATCAGAACTCTAGACTGCTCGCACGAGTTTACGCGTCATTGTTCCGATCGATAAGTCACTGCTATCGAATCGGCGGTCACAACTTATAACAATGTTTAAGCTCATTGATTAAAAAATTTATCATATTAAAAAAATCATATCTGGAAAAAACTACTTAATATCAGTTGGTAGGAAGTATAAAACAGTGTGTAGAAAATAATAACGAAGTCATGTGAATAAAACGGAAACGAGAGAATTATCTTCTCTTCCAAAAATAAAACAATAAACACAACAAACAAGAGAGTGGTAATGCATTTTTTTTCTGGAAAGAGTAAAATGTTTAACTAGTTAGTTAGACAGGGGAATAGAAAAATGGACAAAACATTCTCCACAGAAATCGATAAAGAAAAAAGGTAACACGATAAGGGCACTAATAATAATAATAATAGTAATAATAATACTAATAATAATAGTAATAATAATAATAATAGTGATTAATATCATATTCGTAAATGATACATTCATGCGTTTGTATGTCCAGGTACGTGTGGTTTTACTAGCACTTAATTTGATGGACTTTTTTATTGGTGTCTAACGGTACCTTATCAACTTTTTTGAAAATGATTGCGAAAAGACCTGAACATTTAAATAAATAATATAAAATAACTTTATTAAGTAGAAAAATAATTATTTACGATTCAGAATCATATAAATTTATGCCTGATAACTGATATTTAGTTAAATGTAGACAATATAGTTAGAAATCTATTTATATATATAGATAATTTACAATATGTTTATGTAAATTATTATTATTAATGGCTTTATTCAATATTATATTTTTGATAGAATTCTTAGCATAAAGTACTTCAACAAGTTTCCTTTCTTATTTCTTGAACTATCCTAACGATAAATAGTGAGTGATCGCCAGTTAGATTTTAGCAGTTTAGAAATCGACATCTGAATAATGTTCATTCTTTTCGATGCATATTGCCAGCCGCTATGATGTCTCTGATTGTACATTTTTGTAGCTTGTACAGCAAAAGGTCATAAGCTTTTCATAAGCATGTCTGTATAGGTTGTGCGACTAATAGATATAATGATGTTATTATATTCGAACGAGAATAAGTGAATAGTAAACGGTGATAATTATTTATGGATTAATTTTATGTATATATTCTTATTGTATAACTGTTGAAAAACGAAAATACATATGTTTATATTCCTCTTATTATAAGCTTTTATTTGACCTATTAGATAATGCCATATGATTTGCTATTCTCAAGTTATTCTCAGTATATTGGTCACAGTTTCTCACAATCACAGCCACTTTTTTGGCTTGATCTTGCACAAATGTTATTTTCTATTTTATGGTACGATGTGGTCTGATTTTGCTTATATATAAACCAAGTATGTTTGAAATATATGATTCGATATAACGGAGACTGATATTTGCGTTCTGGACTGAAGCGGCTAGGTTGAATGAGAAGATGCTATCTCAAGAACTAATAAGAAATCTATGTTGCTCGTACTGGTTTATGCGTCATTGGTCCGGTCGATAAGTCGGTGACTTTAATTAGTGATCGTATCAAAAAAATGATTTTTTTTAGCCTTCAGAAATCCCTGGTCCCACTAGCACTACAGTTTGTTCAAGCGATAGCCCATATGATCAGTCAAGCATAATAAACCACAGTCTATGCAAATCCAAAAGACACAACATCAATAAGGAAGCTCTCGGTTTTTTATACTCCATACTCCCTTTTTAAACTTATTACTTATCAATCCACGTTCACTTCTGAACAAAATTTCAGCCTTGAGAACATTAGCTTTTCTAGCCAAGCCTTCTTTCATACTTATCACTGAAACATGGTGCTCTCAAGCAGTATCGGTATCGGATTCAGAATTGAATATCCAGAACTATCGACTCTATCGCTGTGACAGAGAAACTAAGCGAGGAGGTGGTTGTATTATATATGCTTTGGATACCCTAACAACTAATAAAGTTGAAGATAGTGTCCTGAATAGTTTACCAGAATCAGTCTGGATATCAGTCAACACCCTGAATCATAGTCTACTCCTTAAATGTATATACAGAGCTCCTGATAGTTCGAATAATGGGAATGATCTTATTATCAATTCATTCATACATGCAACTGCTCTAAACTTTAATGCTAAGGTTATCACTGGGGATTTCAATTATCCTGGGATTACCTGGAGTACCGGTAGTTGTCAGTCATGTAATGATGAGTTCTCGGCAACTATTAACATGCACTGCTGGTCACAGTGGGTTCGTACCCCAACTAGAGGCGATACTATACTCGATCAAATATTTAGTAGAGATGTCATCCCACTATCTGTAAAAGCATACGATGAATTTGAAAGCAGTGACCATAAGATAGTAGTTTGTGCTCTCCCTATCTATCCCTCTTATAACCGACCCATTCAAAAACCCTGTCAATATAGATACTATAAGCATGCTGACTGGGACCTCCTGCATTCACCGATTAAACTTTCAGACTGGGATAAGTTTTTTTCATGTAATAATCTCATGGATGCTATCGATCGTTAACTGATCGTTAACTCTTGTTTAGATTCCTGTGTACGTCTTGAAACGTACAGGTTTGGTAAACCTTACGAACTATATATACCAGCTGAATATCGTAATAAACTAAGACGCCTACAAAATCGTTATTTTAAGTCAAACGACTTCACGGCAGTTGCACAAATAACAATAATTTTTAACCAAATTAAAGAGAAACATGAGTTAAAAGCCATTAGTGAGGAGAAACTAGCACTTAATACTAACTCAAAGGTACAAAACCTAACTCTCCTTTTCAATAAACGTGCCAAAGCAATTCAAAATGTTGATATACCATGCATCCAGCATAATAACAATTTTATATACGACTCTAAAACTATAGCAGACCTTTTCAGTGGTATTTTTGGGAATGGTGTAGGAATCATAAGTGGCTCTGCTTCAACAGTTATGTGCGTGACTAGCAACTCAATAAAATATATCTCCTTTACATGCATGAAAATTAATAAGGTTATAAATACCCTTAAGCTTTCAAGAGGTCATGGGGCTGACGGGATGTCATCCTTCTTCTAGAAATATGGTGGTCCAGATATTCCACTTCTTCTTCTAAAGCTGTTTACTCTCTCTATGGAAACTGGTTCTTACCCTAACTGTTGGAAAACCACGCACATCATACCACGTTACAAATCTGGAGATAAGACTGACATGAACAATTACCGGCCAATAAATATTACTCCAGTTATTTCTAGGATCATGGAAAAAATTATAAGTGATGAACTTTCCAACTATATGCTCGCTGGAAAATTTATCAATGATACTCAACATGGATTTCTTAAAAATCGTTCTTGCATGACATGTCATTTTGACTTCTTTAATTTAGTCTATTCTCTACGCAGCCAAGGATATCCAGTCTTAGTGCTATATCTGGACATTTCCAAAGCCTTCGACATGGTTAGCCAGCAACTCCTTATAGGTAAACTTGCCTCTTATGGGGTTCGAAATCCTTTGCTAGCTTGGTTTGATTCCTTTCTCAGCAATCGACATCAAATAGTTAAAATTAACTCTTCATTGTCTGACGTTGTCCCTGTTAGAACTGGTGTACTACAAGGTAGTGTCTTAGGCCCTTTGCGCTTTTTAGTGTTTATCAATGATATTTGTGAAAGTTTTTGTGTGGGTAAACCCCTCCTATATACAGATGATCTTAAAGTAGTATGTTCATTTTCTCCACATGAGCTGAAAAATATGCGAAATTGCATCAGCGTGGAGCTTAACAAGGTAGCACAGTGGTGCTTAAGATGGCAACTGGAGTTTATTACGACTAAATGTTGATGGATATGCTTCGGCGATACATCACTCAACCTAGACCTTACCATAAATGGAGAAGTGTTATCTAGGTTACCCACAGTAGTAGACTTAGGACTTAGATACTCCCAAGACTTGTCGTTTACAGAACAGATATTGAAACAGACTTCTAAGTCTCAACGTCTAGTAGGTTACATAACTCGAAACCTTTATAACAATGAGTCACGTATTTTAATGTACAAAGTTTGCTTTCGACCTCTTCTAGAATATTGCATCTTTATTCTCAGCAGTGCACGCACAAATGATAAATTATGGCTGGAATCAGCACAGAGACGATTTACACTTCGTATTCTTGGAGCTGATTGTACCTTAACTTACAATTCTAGATGTAATAAACTTTGTTGGAACCACATGAAGTTTATGCTATCAAAGATTCTACAATAAAAACTGTGTTAAGTGTCATTTATGTTGATGTCGGTCTTTATTTTGATCTCTGTTGATCGTTTCATGTTTTGTTAACATTGAAAAGTTTCCATTTAACTCATTATACAGAGAGGTTACATGTTTTTCTGGAATTGAACGTCACTTACTTTCATGATTTGTAAATTCTTGTATACAACCTATTATCTCTTACTGTCACCCATTATTCTTCCATGGACTTTGAAAAACGATTGGTGAATCTTCTGTTTTCGTTATTTATATGGTTATGAATAGACACTTGAAATCTTGTAAACATCAGGAGTGTAATTTTATCAGACATAAACAATCACTCCATTTACGCTTTTCTACTTGTATATCTCCTGATAGAACGAGACGATGATACATTACAATCCATGCACGCTAAAAAAGCACGAAAGCTTCACAATACTGTATCTAGAACACAAGCTATTCAATAAGCAGGCTATAAAGGATGACTTAACCTAAAACGTATACTCTTCAGCCTGTTGCTTATCCACTCTGGCACAGACTTCCACATTCTTGGAAGAATTTTTACTTAGTTTTCATTACTTATTTGGGTATGGATGTAAATAAAAATTTATTGTGACTTATAAAAAGAATAAGAGACGTTTGTTGAAACGTTGTAAGTTGGTTAGTAGTTAAGTATCTCATAGTTTTATAGTTTCGTGTATTGTAGAACAAATTCCCACTTTCTCCACCGTCTTTTATATATCATTATGATAAGTGTCTTTAAAATTAAGCCGACTTATTCGAATGTTGGAGATTAAATGACTGTCACTCACAAGATGAAATCGTATTCTTCTGATCATCAATCGATAATAATTAAATTTCACTGGTTCGCATAATAATTTATTGAGATCGGTAAAATTTATTGGTCAAACTAGTACTATACGGAAATTAGATTCGGGTTACTACAGTTATCATATTTTGTTAGTTAATTAACAGACTATCAAACAGAAATAATAAAACAGGACCTGTGACCTGATGTACGTATGAATGGGTGATGTATCAGTTCAATTAACACATAGTTCTGATTCGATCCAATATGACAGATTGACAAGAAATAAATCTTTACAATAATAATGAAAAGTTACGTTTATAATTATTGAAGAAATGAATAAATGAAATGAAATATAAAGGTATGAGTTAACCGGTTCATCTTCAAAATAAGTTGAAGTACTCACAAACAAGAGGTTGTTATTAATTTAATTAGATAATTGAATAAAAAACTGTTATTGTGGAAAAGAACTTTATATATAACTATTTAACCAGCCAACTCATTGAATAATGACCAGCAGAAAACTATGCTCACATATTCTCGAAGAAAATTTCACTATAACAATCATCAAGATTACTTAGTCAGATAAAGAAATAAGTAGTTCACAAAGGTAAGATCATAAGAACATACTCTCTTTGAAAGATTTCTTAACTGTGAACAACTTAATCAGAACACATGTATTTATATTTAGGTTTATTTGCTATAAAGAAAGTCGGATATTGCATTTTATGCATAAACTTTACACGGTTTATAAAAAAAAATTTTCGCATTTTGCAAAACGAAACACTCATCTACATACTTTCATATAACATTGACCGTCTAGAGACTATGAAATGCATGTGAAGAACTCTTGCAATCAATATCTTCATATTGTTTTGATTTTTTTTTAGCAGGAATTTAAGAATTGACGTTAACAGAATCCCTAGGTTGTAACTACCACACACCATGATAGTCATATCAAATTCAGTGATAAAATTTCACTTTATAACGAAGTTTCAATAATCCAATCCAAAACAGTGATGATTATTAGTATGAGGATTTGTGGAGATTGTAGTATTTTAACAGTTGAATTAACGAGTTGATCTAAGCTGAACCACCAACGATGTGCTAACTGGTTTAGTGTCAAGTGATACCTAACAAACGAAAATCATATGGATTTCTGATATACTTTCTGGATCATGAGTTTTTGAAATTAAATCATAAATATATATCATTTAAAATGGTCGTTACAGTAACAGCGTTAAACTGACAAATAATATGTAAGGGTATCGGTAACCTGTTTTTACTTTTTAAATAAATGATTAAAAAATGTTTAAAAGATCATATCAAGTGTTCAAAACCAAATTCTCCCTTAACTCTCAGAAACTAAACAGTAAAAACATATTAACTGATATTAAAACATAATACTTACGGTTGTTCTTCAAGTGACAATGTTTCCAAATGAGGAGGCAAACCCTTCGGCAGGTTATTTTGACTAGATAACAATTTATTCTTACTAACTGAATTCATTGAATGATGTAAATTAACATTAGATGAAGGTAAGTGATCAAACACCTGTGTCATAGAACTGGTACAATGAGAAGGGGGAGCAACTGACGTTATTACTACATGTGAGGCCATCGATACTGATGATGACGATGACGACGAAGAGGTGGAGGAAGACGTGCATGATGAGGAGGTTGACGACAGGCTAGGAACTGTAAGCATATTTGTTGCAGAAGAATTACAAGTTTCAGAAGTCAAGAAATCATTATTCACTTCCATTATTGTAGTTGTTGCGTTTCCAGATTTACCAGTGCTTGAAATAATAGTACTAGGATCTATAAAACGTCCACCTGCAAATGATATTTTAAAACATACAAAATAGGATAATTCTGATTTATTATCTCGAAACTAAAATAATCACTCACTTGATGACAATGGATGATGAACGTGCTATAATCATGAATTAACTCAAGTTGGAAATGTAGATCACTCTGTATCGACTCAGTAGTCTGAAGGTAGGTTGCTCTTTGAACAGCTTAATATTTTTAGGTTTGACTACTGATGATGTCAAGGTTGCACACTGTTAAGTCCTAAACCGGGAAGTAATAGTTGTTCTGCTCTCCCCTACTAATAATAGTTCCCCATATAATGTCGATTTGTGACAAAAGCCATCATATCATAACCACAGACTATATGAATTCATCTCGTCCAGAAGAATGAAACGATTTTAAAAAATCACATTTAATACACATTATGGATAAGTCTAAAAACCAAAAGAGTTCATCATATAGAATTTGCTGAAATCATATGAAATGTGAACACTATCTATCGACAACTAGGAATCATTAAAACTCCCTATTTCTTATATTTAAATTAAAATCAAAAGGGAAATTGATTAAGTTATAACTACTCACTATTCATTTATTTGTTATTCTAATATTTCATAAAATTTTATAAAACTAAATGAATTTAACATGAGAATAATCATTATTTGAAATAGATACGGTCAAAATATTGCTGCTTCCATGTTTATTCGTTTCTTACAACAGTTTTTTTCATCATATGACATAATTATTTGAGTGAAATGAGTTCCGATTCAATTCCGATATAATTACTAACACACAGAAGATGAAACTTTGTACAAACTAGTTAGTTGAAATAGTATTTGATAATTATCTCATCTTAATTAAATGAGAATCAATTTTAGAACTGTTAAGGTCTTAAAAAATACTAAATAATTGCTATGAAATCATTGAACAGAAAATTGACTATCGGTACTTTTTTTTCTAAACAATTTACTCTGGGCGTAGTGAAATATTTCAATTAAATTCTTTATGCCAAAAACATGTAACATTAAATATATGACGTCATAATATACAGATCAATACTTAATTATTATATCATTTAAATTAAATTATCAGTGATATTACCAAGGGAAAAAAGATTGAATTTCACATGCAAAGATAATTAAATAGAGTTCAGAAAGATTTTCTTTTATGCTAAATAATAAAACTCTAATAAACTTACTCATTAATTTAGAAACTAATCGACCATGTTGAGCATCCCAAGAATCATCACAACTACTTGTAGAAATGCTATCGAGATCATTAGATAAAACTGATTGTACAGGACGAGTAGTCAAATTCAATTTTAAATCATTACCATTAGTATTTTTAATTGAAATGAATTTACTAGACTCTTGTAACTGACCAGAAGAAGATAAACCATGTTGTATAAGCTGATGATGGTAATTTGGATGGTGTTGATGATGTGAAGAAGGTGGAGGATGATTTAAACTTGACTTCACCGTTTTAATCATTGTTGTTGTAGGTGTTGTTGTTGCATTACTATATTTTGGTATATTTGGTAGTAAAGATGTATCATTTGATGAATTATTGATGGCTAGATCTAAACTGAGCTAAATTTAAAAAAAGCACAATAATCATAAGAATAAATAACTATAGTTACATTGTCTATGTACAATAAGTAGATTATTTTTAAAAGAAAAACAAAGGGGAACAATATTGATCAAATTAATGTCAGTCAGTCAGCAACAGAAATTCTTACGTACGTACATCAGTTCAAATATAGTTTCAAAAATGTTTGCATTATTCTTAGACGAAACGAGTAACCAGTAAGGTTCATAAGTTTTACTGAATGACATGTGAAGTTCAAGCTATACTGTAAATACAGTAAAATGTACATATATACACACATATGTCAACATCTGTAGTGCCCATTCGCAATAGAATTTATGCAGTATGACAACGCATTCCTATCACTAAAATGTATACTGTAAAAAACGCTGGATCAAAGTTTACAGTATGTGAATCTACTGAACAACATTCATTTATTCTTAAGAAGAGCAAACAAAAGATTATGGAAGGAAATTACACATAATCAAGGCATCTTTCTACTATAATTCAATTATGCTTTGCTGCTAATTGTTTAATTATTTAAAAATGTTCTTAACTCCGCTGAAAACTGAACCCAGGAGCTTTCGTTTCTCACCGTGGGCGCATAACCTTCAGACCGATGAATAGATTACACAATGGTTTGCACATCTACCTTCAATGAATGGTTGTTTGAGTTCAGTCTGTAATCTAAACTATGAAATTTAATGATCTCTACAAAACCCCACTATACTGAGAAGTATATTTCAGAAGAACCTGTTTAAAATCGCAAAACAATGAAGAGTTGTTTCATCCTAGTTTGGTACTACTACTTATGGAAACGCCAATCACAACCACACACATGTGATAGAACGAAGTACTTTAAAATTTCGCAACAACTTTGATATTTCTAGGTAAATGAATTGGAAGAATACAATGATTCAAAATTTAAACAACTTCCATAAGTTTGTATTGCAAACTTCGCTCCTGATTTAATGTTGTTTATTAGTTACAGTTATACCAATGCGCATTGTTCATTCCGTAGATATAGTTTCTCAATAGGATTTTCATTAAAAAATCTCATCTCAGAATTAATCTTCAGTAAGTACAAGGTGAGATTACTTGACAGGATGATTTTGTGAAGATGTAGTGTTGCAGTTGTAACAACCAGTGAAAATTAGACTTCAGTGAGTTAAATTGGTGTTCGTTCATGATGAAAAATACTTACAAAATATGTACAAACAAACAATACCAAAAAAAGCAACACCATAATATCACTTCACTTAATTTTTATGAATATATAATATTGACTTCTACGAATTTACACAAATTCTCAAAAACAACACGAAAAGGTCAAATTTGTAAAACACAACAAAACCTAAACCAATTCGTTTTAGTTGTTATTGCCATTTTGGGTAAAAATTAGTGTAGAGGAATTAAGAAGAAGTAAAATTCACCAGGAAAAAATCCTTTAATATGCAAGTCGCATCAATTATATCACAATGTTTAAGGTCAAGAAAACAGCAGCTAACCAATGACTAAGCGGTAACTTATAATAGAATGGCTACACAATATATTACATGCTGACACTGACGACAAGAAATAGACATATTATAATCAAATGAAAATAACAGCTGATTATTTCCTAAATACACACATATCTATACATGTTGATATACATAAACACATGTACAATAGACGAACAAACAGGAAAGCGCACTCCTATAACTAAGGATTTACTAGTTCCAATGACCAAAAATGAGAGAAAACATGTTAATATTTCAAGTCACAGAAGAGAAAAACACAACGGATAATTAAGAGGTAAACATTAAATCTAAAATTACAAAAATATTCTTAAAAATCTAACTTTTAAACTGAACACAAAGATATAATATCACAATAAGTCGGAAAATGAGCTTAAGCAAATGATTCACATTCGGATTAGCATAGATTAAGTTATTTTTAAATCAGCTAATTGAAGAACCTGTGAAGAATATTGTAGTGAATGAAAACTCAGATCCAGGACAATCAATTCACTTTTTATTACAAAATTACAGAGTTCTTTCATAAAATGTGAAAAGCATACATCAAACACTTCATTTGCAAATCATTCATCGAATGTCTCAAACTTCATCGGTCATTCATTGCTATTACAATTACTCTCTGTTCACATTCCCGTCCTGTTCGATTCCGTCTTTTCAACCTTTGCTGTCAGGCATTCAAATTCTGGTTGTTATATACTACTTATATCGGCAGATTTAAGTAGCGTACACCACAATATTAAAATAATATTTGAGAAAATAAACGGAAATACTTTTTCACGTAGCATCACTGCTATCCTCCTACTCTTATTTACACTGACATTAAATTTTGTTTGAAAGTACATATGATCTATCCCAAGTTATTTACAAGTCAACAATTAACTGATTATTAATAATTTTCGATGAAAAACCAGTTGATAATAAGTACAGTGTAAGTCCTTTGAATGGAAAGAATATATATAGGGATGAGGTTAAAACAATTTAAACGAACTTCAGCCACTTGTTAGCCAATCAAAAATAACCTTGATATATGAGTTCATGGTAAGTAAAGAATAATATTAAAAAAGTTTAACATATTTTACATAATAAATCTATTGAAGTTTACGACAGTGTATTCTATATGGATATAGACTATCTTTCCGAAACTCTATAAGGACGTATATAGATTTCTAAAAGTCCTCACATTGTTTTTGGTTTGGGACAAACGGGTGAGAAATAGGAGTTTAGAGTTAAAGTCATCAGGTTAGGTGGTATGTGAACAATGTTGATTTGTATGATGTATACAGTCTAAATAGGAAGACTTGAGCATTTGATACTTTAAACACTATTTTTACTCTATGGTAACAATAAGTAATATTGCTTTATCAATTTGAGCGTTTTGAGAACGATGCAAAAGTAATTTTACTTTTTGTTTTAAGTGATACAAGATAAAAGTCAGTTCTTTCTAAATTTAGTGTGAAAATCCAAGTGGTCTGTTCGATTCTGATTGGCTCGTTGGTATAGTGTACTTTTACCAAACATATGATGTGTTATCGGTATATGGTTTCCTGAGGATTATGGAATTTTCAGTTTAAGTCACGAAGTGACCTAAGCTAGATAACCATTCAAAACTAGGAAGTACTGGACATCTGTTTCGTTTTAATATGGGACACTTCAGGAGTGCGAATCTGCGACGCGCCACGAAATATCAGACCCAGGATCTTCGGTTTCCTACGCTCACTTATTAAACCAATACGGAAGTATTACATTGATATTATTCAGATAACTATATTCTCTAGTTTTGGTCTACTTGTGGAACCCTATGATTCATGTGAAATAAAACTGAGTCATAAAGTATATGTCTAATATGTACCTAATTAAACGTTTGAATGTATATGTATGCATGTGAGCAAGTGAGTAAGAAAATAAGTATATGTGTGTAAATTGAACCACTAAGTAAATCTAGTTGATAAGATCCCATCACTGAACTAAACAAATATGTTTAAAAAAAATAAGTTACACTTTACTGTAACAGATTCTAAATTATAATAAAACAATATATACTCCAATCCTGTCCAACCCTTAATCTATATATCTAAGCAACTAAAACAAATGTTTGCACTGGATATTTACCTGGTAAGTTATTTTATATCTCCCAACTAGTCAACTCTAAAAAATGTTCTATCTATCTGTTATAAAATGAAATCAGGGTCATTAAATATGCAACATAAATGAAAGACAAGCTATTCGATCCAATTTAACTACGACAACAATAGTTCAATTCATTTTGTATTGTTTTTTGAGTCTTCCCATTGATGTTAAGGACTGCAGTTGATCAGTCTCTTATTGGCATATGTGCATCCTGTGCGGATTGCCTCGATATTGCCTTAAGTCACAAGAGTTATGAGAAGAGATGGATGGTGGTTAGTAGTGGAATCCAGAACTTCGACGTGTTGAACAGTTCTACGGTTAGACACAAGGTTTAGTTTATTAAAATAAACCGTCCGATAAATCTAGAAATTTATGTTGGTTACAGGGTTCATGGCATTTCGAAATAGTAAGTTGTAGAAAATGACTTTTTCCGGTGGAAGATTTTATGAGGTGTCATGAAGGACATTAGTAGAACTAATGTATCAGAAAAGATTGTCGAACTCTACATTTTAAGTAAAAACCATTAAATAGAAAATGATGATATGTGTATGTTCGAATTCTTTTCTCATATAAGATTACTAGTTACGGGTGTTTACTTAGATGTTCGAGCATTTGACTTCCAGGCAATAAATTGCAGACTCCAATTTCCCACCTATCTCAGCCTTGAAATGCTGGCGGTATAACTGGTCCTCAAGCGGAAAATGTGTCTTATCTGTGACAGCTTATGTTTAGATTTCGTGTTTTGGATTTAAACAGTATTAGTTATTAGCAATAAGTTCCCAGTAGCACCTAACAGGCATATCCAGCTGAAGAGTCCCAAATAGGACGAAATGCATGTCCTGGATTCCACTACTAACCACCATCCATCTCTTCTCATAACGCTTGTGACTTAAGACAATATCGAGGCAATACGCACAGAACGCACATATGTCAATAAGAGACTGATCAATTGCAGTCATAAACATCAATGGGAAGACTCAAAAAAACAATACAAAATGAATTTAAACTTCACCCCATTGTATAAGCTATTGGCTATCAAGATTCAGTAACTAAGTGGATAACATGATGGCGTTTGAAGCGAACAGCATTTGGCCTGAGTCCTGGAGTGAACTTCAATTCTGAGATACAGGTATGTCCAGCTGACAAGTCCCAAAATATGACGAAACGCGCTTCCTGGATTCCATTGCTAGCTACCATCCCTCTTTGCTTACAATGGTTCAATGTTTTCTGAGATAACTTAAGAATGACTTGAATGTCAGAGCAGAAAAGTGTTCCATAGAAAAAGGAAAATCAGAAAACTATCTATCCTCCTTTTTGGCTTCAAACCTACAGACAAATAGATTTGAGTGAGTCTATTATTCAAAAAAAAACAATCAAGCATAATATTCAGTTGTTGAAGTGAAAATGAAATTTGGTTAGTAAATCGATTTTATTGACTCAGTTAATAGATTATAAAACAAGACTTTTATAGGCCTTTTTTAAGTTAGAATATTAACAATCTCCAAATTTTCAACTCTAACCATTATCCTTGTATATAATAAGTAATTTGTTTGTTTAGTGTTAACTGATACGCTGGATACTGGATTCTCACTCATTAATCGGTTTGACAAATCGTACTGACATTGAAAATGTTTATTTAAACTAAGACTTGGGCAAACCAGCGTAAATACATTCTTCCGATAACAATAAGAGAATAGAATAGAGAAACAAATAAATTAATGCAAAGTACATATTTGATGAACAAAGAATCCACGGTTAAGAATGAATATATATATATATATATATATATATATATATATATATATATATATATAACACAACCGATGCCAATCATTTCATTTTACATCTCAAGTGGAATTCTCTTTTAACTATCTTTACATAAAAATAAGTACAAATGCATATTTTGAAATACAATAATTATTTTATTAGAAATGAAAGTATTTTTGAAAACACCTTTACAGTCATCTATAATTGTTAAATTACAGGGCTAAAAGAAAACTTGGCAATTGGAAATATGAATGACAGAATGTCAACTTGTTGATTTAAGGGTGATACATTGTAATGAGACCTGAATGTTTCGGGTTCGATCGCTGGTAAGTACATGTGTGCGCAATGCAACTATATTCCATATTAGAACAAATTATTTGTCCAGTACATCCTGGTTTCCAACATTTATAGAAATAAAGTTGATCCACGACATAAAATGTTTTTAGATTTGTATATTTATTGCAAAACTATTGAGTTATTGGAAGAAAACTGATTGAATAGTTCTTGGAGCTAAGTAAATTAGTATGAAGGGATTTACGAAAAGTTGATGATATTACACAACTACATAAAACGAAGTAATTGTTTTCGCACTCTTCTCTGTACTGCAAAATGGGAAGTTTAAATACGGTTCTTAAACGAAGTTTTAATAAATCCCATAGATGATATTAAATGGATAATCTAGTGTTCACAATCATGGATATACTACACACATTGTTAAATGAAAGATACGATTCATTTTAGAGTTTTACAATAACAAGTAAACAGTGAGTAAGGTTTCGCTTATAACATCATTGTGATCGAATGCGAGTCAATATTTACCTCATGATTTTCGTTTTACAACATTTATTTTCAAGAATAAAACAGAAATATATGGAATTTTGTAGCCTAATTGTTCATTTGTTGTGAAATCAATGGGCGATAACCATTAGAGGGATTCGAAATTTATTACATACGTGATGCTTATATATATATATATATATATATATATATATATATATATATATATATATATAGTGCAATCCTTGTTTCATTCTTTTTTTCTTCTAAAGTATACGCGTACTTTGTTTTATAATGCACTCATACTCGTACTCTCAGTCAGATATGGAAAATAGCTTACGCTATCCACTATTACAATAATTTATTAAATTAACATCTTTCAAAACCTGTAATAAATTGTCTCTACACTGACAACTAGATGATTCTATTCATAATAATACGAAAAATAGTAATAGTAGTAATAATATTAATGATAATGATAACGACAGAGTACACTTAAATGAAAAAATCTGTTGTTATGATATACTCCAGAGTTCAAATCGAATACAAACTATTCATTTTCAATAGTTTTCTTTAGAAGTTTAAGTCATTTAGTTGTGAACAACATGAAGTTTGGTAATAAGTACGCATTAATTCAAGTTGATACATTTCACAACAGTACAGGAAGAGAAAATAAAAATGAGTAGGAAATCTGAAAATAACATGAGCAGTAGTGAAAATAAAACATAAGAATCATATTTTCGTAAGAAATGTTGATGAAGTAATGAGTTAAAATTCGAAGATAATATTAAAACTCAAGATTTAGGGGAATATTAAAATTAAATTTCACCAATGTTGCGCCGTATCGCTTAAGGTCCCCAAACAAAAATTACGATTATCCTGACTTCAACCAACAAACCAGTTCCTCTTAACATACATTAAACTAATATTTCATGACTTCATATACTGTTACCGTATTTTGATCTCCTAGCACTCAAAAGTTTTCCAATCTATTCTTCTGTTGTTCAACAACGCACGTTGTGATAGGTTGTGTTTAGGAAGCACATACGTGAACCACTTAGGATTGGTTAATACATCATTTATCTATTTAGAGTCAAATCAAGAATCAAGTACCGATTCGCTATTTTATCTTAAGTTATACTGTTGGTAATTCCGTTGCAAACGGAAGTGTAGAATAATGGTTTTAAATATTATAAACCAGAAAACTAAATCTAGATTAAATTGATGTCATATAAGACGACATAAACGTTCTACAGAATGCATATATAGAATGAGGTGAAACCAAAAAAAACTTACTTTGATACCCATACTCCATGAACCATTATAAGCGTAATCATATTCACCGTTGTTTTCTGTTTTTCCACTTAACTAAATAATAAACCAATAGAAAGAGATAAAATAAGATTAGTACAAACTGCCAGTAACAACAGTTTAAGATTACCCTTTTAAATTACAGAAAAGAGAATTTTAAAGAAGAATCCTAGGATAGTTTAGTGAAAACAAAATGAAAGAACTTTAAAAACTAATTATAGGCTGTAATGAATTCCATTGATTGGAGTTAAAACAACTGATAACTTCCTTTTACTACTGAACTATATATAAACAAATAAACACGTATACTTGATTTTTGTTATCCTTCAAAACCGGAGAAAGAATATAAAATATAATTCATAATCTACTGAAGTTTATAAACAACAATTTCATTTTACAACAGTGTAGCAAATACTGACCCCACTGTATGAATAGCTTAACAATAATAAATTCAATGATTGAGACATTGTGTGAAACTTAACGCTAAATTTCTCCAATAAGTCAAGAATTGTAACCAAAGTCAGATCTATGCCCCGTTGATTACAAGTAACAACAACAACAACAACAACAAAAACACTAAATGGAATCCGTCGTTGAAATGTCGAAGTATCCCCATTGAATTGAATGATATAACAAAATCATTAAAATTATTATATGTTTACGTCAAAATTCTTAGTATTATCCATTTGGAGAATTACAAATAGCAAAAAATTATAATTGTATTGACCAATTTATTAAACAGATAAAATTTATGAAAAAAATCTCGTAGATCACTTTTTGCATGGATACTATATATTTGTAGGACACGAATAAAACAGATATCCAAGGCATATTAATGGGTTTGCATTATTTTTGCTTAGAATCCTTTTTTCAATAAAATCTTTTCAACTACCCATTATCAGTGTTATTTCTGGTAGATTTCAATTGACCAATGAACAGCATTGATTTACAATATTATATTGTACAATTTATAAAACATTGAACTGACCACCATCACCACCATCTGGATGGTATAAATGATGATTGATAATGATGTTTTAACCATGAACAGAAGTAGCGTTTACGGCATTCAGGAGTGGAGGAAATACACGGAAATTACAACAAATGATTTCTGGGTTTGATAATGACTGAAAGACGAATTACTTGTACCAGTCTTTTTTTAGACTTACTGATTCAATTTACCATGTGTAACAATTTGCATTAAACGATATTAAAAAAATTTACTTTTCCATATAAATGAACATTTAATAGGATGGCTAAGCAAAAGTGTAGCTTTGCAATGTAAAAAATGTGAACTAATAATAGGCCAATGATTAGTCACTTATTATCAATAATCTGCCGTGCTGAGTAATTTGTTGAAGGCAGTTATGCTCCTGATTACAGAAATGGCAGAATCCAATGTCATACGAATAAAATAAGTTGGAAGGTGAATTTAAAAAATAGATTTTACTTCTGTCTTTACACCAGTTATCTTATCAAACCCAACCAATTGATGATCAAATACGCTGTAAATAAAAACTATTTCCCCTAACCGACTTTGAATTATCACTATTTAATTTTATCCATCCAGTTTGATACATATCACAAAATATATTGCGAAGATTGACTTCACATTCATCCTATTCTTAACGCTTGTTTAGTACACGTCATTTTATCCACATCACGTAATCTCTGATTGGACATTTGATTTATTCACTAATTATACAATTGTTTTATTAATCTCCATTTATTCATCTGACAATCTTCCCTCATTAATAATCTGTCTAAAGTAATATTCATCTGCAAATTGCTTTTTTAACTTATGGTCTTCAATTTGTTTTGTATTTAAATATTTATTCCAAAAATGTGTATTCGTCTCAAACCTAATTGTTTTAATTTTTCGATTAATCTACAGTTTAAAAAACTGATGAGAATCTATTGAAAAGAACTTTTTCATTCATTCATATATCTCTCTGTACAACAAAATGACATCAAAATTGATTCTTACATCTACGTCCCATTAAAAAAAAGTGCATCTAAATGATATAATACGTTATAAACACTAAGAATGAATAACATCAAATCCTAAAAACAGTTATCAACCGTTAGACATAAATGTTAGGGATTTTGAGGTAGACAAAAGAAAAAAATTGATATAATAGTTACTAAAGTTACAAACGCTCAAGTAGGACAATCGACTATATCTTGTCTTGTGATATTACATGTTTGCAAGTGATCAATAGTTAACCGATCATATTATCTCAGACACTAATAATAGTTATCATTGATAAAAATAAGGGGAAAATATTACTAGTTAACCAGCACAAATTACAAATGCACATAAATACATGCATCCATACACCATGAACACTAATGATGAAGATAAATAAAAAAACCAATCCACGTAGAATTATGCAAAAAAAATCTGAATGAATATAAAAACTACAAAATGAATTACATAAACATTTAAGGATAGATTGGAATTTTACAAAAACAACACAGTTATATTAACTGAAATCATTAGGCTTGTGTTGAACCATAGTGAAAAAGCATAACCGGACAAAATAATAGGTATTCATTGATTAGATTAATTTAAAACAAGTAATTATTTTGTTAATAAATGCTCACAAAAAGGAGAAAAGAGAGAATCAAATTCATGCTGAGTGTAAATTCCGATGTGAATATTAAGCACAGATACACAAGTGAATTCATCTGTCGAGTATCAAAACGGGACGAAACGTATTCTCAGTAATTCAATGCTAATCAATAAAAAAATTATAGTCAGAACAGTCAATTCAGGTTATATAGAGCCTTCTGCTTAAAGAATCATGTACTGAAAAACTGACAGAACAGTTCGGCTTTTAATGCCGCATCAACAGTGAGAAAATATGCATCCTTCGCACCTAATTAATCACTGCATGTTTAATTTTAACCTGTCATTATTAAGTTATTCTTAATCTTGTGAGTGTAAGCTTGTTTTTATTTTTGTTTTAGTCAAACGATCAATTAGTAAGAAGTAGTTTACTTCTTTTGATGGTACTCCTATAATAAACTTTAACAGAATGATAAGCATAAACAAGAAACAAGATCAGTGAGTTCAGGCAATGTTGAGTTGAACAATATCGTAAATTGATCGAAGTTAAATCTGTAAACCGTTGGGTAGAGGCTCAATTATTCAAATCTTATAAGGTTATCTCGATACCTCAAGGTCCTGGATTCGATCCCCGTTGTAGTTGTGAGTGCTTACTATCAACAAATCCCACACTAAAACGAAGCAGTTATCCAGTCCTATCTGCTTTCTAATGATTGTTCGACTAATAACAATCTATGCTATAAACTATGAAAATTCAACAATCTTTACAAACCCCAATAATAAATATAAAATGGTAAAGCAATTCTTGATTAGAACCGATGATTTTTCTAATAAAAATCTCATTAATTCATTTTATACATTAAAATAATTGGTAATCTTTATCTTCCTAATAAAGTATTACAGTTTGTCCGTTGTATTTTATTATTTAAATTGTAAAAAATATACTAACAGAACAATATATATGATAAAATGATTATTTAATATCTGCCATTAACCTAACTAATATCTAATGTTGAAATTTTCTCTTAAGAAAAAATAAAAAAATAAAAAGGAAACAATGTAAAATGAAACAAATAAAATGTAGCAATCATAATTATGTATGAATTAATTACTCTCAAGTGACCATTACAGATTATGAAATGTTACAAGAGAAAAGCAAATCGACGATTGTATAACATAGTAGCATTAAAAAATGTAATATTATAAAATAGAAAAGAGAATAAAACCATATGGTAGAAACAAAATAAAAGGTATAAATTGAATTGATGAAGAGAATTCGAGAATGAATCGGATACTTTTGATGGTGCTCCCATAGGGCATCAGATTGTTGGTCTGTGTATATGACGCTCTATTTATATAGGATAGAAGCTACTAGACAGATCTAAGTTAAATAATTTTGTATTTAAAAAAAAGGCTTGAGTTAATTATCAGTGGAATGTACTGGCGAGTCAAGGATATTATGGTTGAAAAACTTCCTAGCTTAATTAGAAGTGTAAACGGTGTGTAAACTATTGTATTACATCTCAGACAGTTTACAAATCTACGTATGCATGTGAAAAAAACATATAGGGCAAACAAAAAAGGGTGGATCACGATGTATCTAAGTGGCTGGGAAAAAAACAAATAAGGTTCAATAATCCAAAAAGAGCAGATGATAAACACTCATTTTCTTCCACTGCTAAAACCAAATTTGAGAAACAAGTCATAAGCTGAATCTCAATTTAGCCTTTGTGATCTTTGTATGAACGTTGCTAAGGATGAAGAACTTCTATTTTTCAAAGCTTAACTTATACGAAAGATCAAACTTCATCATGCATCTTCGAAAGGCATCTATATTTACAGTAAACCTACTCTGATAATACTGATTACATCCTGATATCCAAATTGTTTGAAATGTATTGCTCTAATATATCGCATGATTTTGATAAATATAGTTTTCTCATTCCATTTCCCTAGGTTTATCAAACGGACTAACATTTTTAAAGTATCATACTCATTCTTACATTCATTAGTGATATTGAAGATTATAGTCACATTAGTAATAACCTCCTAAATTTTATCAATGAATAAGTAATATGGTTTTCTCAACTCACTACATATAAGCGTATATATTATATATATAATATTTATACATATTCTACTTAACAGCCTCCTGTCAAGAGATATTTTCAAAAATGACAGAAGAAACAAATACTTACTAGTACTACATAAATACTATTAAATCCTGTGAAATGGTAACTTCGTACGATTAAAGCACATCGCTTTCAATTGGTAAGTGGCAGGTCCGAATCCCACCCACCTAATTTTAGTTCGATCGACCGGATAGTATCGGTAGCCGTTGCATAACTACAGTGCAGGTCAAAACTGAACACATAAAATCTGTACTTAATACATGAGTGAAACATATCTATAATATCTCGTAACATTTCAATGACACATACACATACAATAACCTAAAATCGCAAGTAAAATATAATATTTATGATACATACCACCATATGACTAGAATTATTACTAATTAGTTCATCATGACGAAATGAACCATTAGTTGATTTTCGATCCAATTTATCCAAATGTACTAGTCTTGTATCCACCACATGATCTGCACGATCTGATGCATCCACATGATTAGTAGTGGTCATTACTGATATTAATTCAGAATTACTAGTTGAATTTATGAGTTTATCATTTGAACAAGAAGATGAAGAAGACGAAGAGGATGTCGATGTTGAAATATTCAACAATTTCAAATGAGATTCAATAGAGTGAGAATCATCAGTTGAACATTGTCTATTATTATTAATATTATTATCCAGTGACAAAGGTTGCAACGGTGAGAAATTTGAATTATTATTTCTAATTTTATTTCTATTGTAAACAGAAACAGGAGATATTGGGATATTTAAATCATGATTATTTGTAGAGGTATTGGAAGGCATAGAAAAAGGAAGTTGTGGAATGTAATTTTGACTATTTGATGATAGCGGAATAATTGATGGTAGACGTGATACACCGACACCAAGTTGACGAGCTAATTTTAAATCCCAAGCTTCTTCATAAGTTGGATAAGAATTGGGTACATTAGAACGTCTACGACCGAATCCATGTGAATTATTTACTTTGTTATTCATTGAATTTTGTAAATCTGCAGAATTTGTCTTAGACAAGTTTATCAATTGATTCGGCTCACTGGGAATAGAATCTGTAAAGAGAAATAAATAAAAAGTTTGACAGAGAACGGTGATGAGTTTTTATCTTAAATGGAAGTTGATCAAACTTTTGTCAAGAACAAGAAAAATTAACACACTGACTAGGCGAAAAGATATCAAAAACTCGTTTTGATCATGTCTTATAAAATCAAACTCCTATTGTTATTACAAAAAAGTCTCTGTCATGATCGTACACCCATGAGACTGTAAAAAGGAAAAAACATCATAAACTGAGAACTAAATTACTGAAAGTTGTAAAAAAAGGAAACAGATATTTACTCAAAAGTGGGCTTAGGCCAAATGAATAAACACTTTCGTCATGTAAACAACTGGTTACCATTAAAAATAATGAATAGTTTAACGAACAGAAATCTTGTCGAATATCTAAAACGTTTTACATATATTGAAGGATAATGTCTATTGTTCATCGACCAAGTGTTATGGAATTTCTAAGCATTTTTATGATATTATTTTACACATTTCTTCAAATAAGCAAAATGTTTTTTATTCATTGAACTAAATTTCATACAACTGTAATAAAGTATATGGTTAGACGTTTAATCTCACTTTCATATTTTACGAGAATATCAGTAACAATAAGACATATCTTGTGATCGATTTGAATCATGATCATCAACATTACTGTCTAGTTTAGTAATAGTGATTAAATACAATTTTATCAGTGATTTCCCTAGTTTAAATATACTGATAGTAATCAATCAATGAGTTGGCCATAACAATGAAATATTATCGCAACTGCAAATGAACAAAAGTAAATTATATGGATGACCGGCGAGACTACAATTTATGGACGAACCAATCACGCATAAGATATAAGGTCTCGGATTCTGGCGCGAAACTCACTCATCTATTTGGGTAAATAGTTTTGGCATTTTATAGACGATGTCAGTTCGTGATGAAAACACTAAATCTAATTTGTAAGCTTAATCATCAACTGTAAATCGTAATTCTAATTCCTCACACATGTTCATAACCCTCATTTCGTCCTGGTTATTAAGTGGACACTCTCAAATCCAGTCTAGCATCGCTGAAAGGTCGTCGTTCATAAATTATAGTCTCACCGGATGACCTGTTATTCAGTTAAGGGTACGTAGTGAATAAAACAATAAATCCTTGATTAAACAACAACAATAATTAATGAGTTTATAGGTATCAATGCCAAGGTTGAAATTGATAGTTTCAAATAAATTGAGCATTGGGTGGAAAGTTAATAGTAAATTTTGCTATATAATAATATTTTGTTATATTCCAACGAATAGAAATATTGCTTTTCTGACGTTTCATGGCTTGATGTAAACCACTTCTTCGGAGTAATTAAATAAGTGAATTCGGCTATTTTTCTACATATATTATTCAATTACAAAATTTGTTGTTTTTTTTGACTGACTAAGAATTATCAATATAGGGTTGTGGAGAGTTCTGAGTTTTAAGTGGGATCATAAACCGAAGAGCCTCATAGTAGGACGAAACGGACGTCCAGTGCTTCCAAGTCTTTAAACGGTGGTCTAACACTGATCGGTTCATGATCTCAATGACTAAGAATTGGCTGAAAAATTGTCACGATTATTTTAAGCTTGTCGCGATAGTATATATCAAGTTTCTTATACACTGTATGTCCTTCAACTCAATTGTTTACGTAGAATTTAATTGAATGAATTTATACATTGTATCTCGTAGATAATATTGTAGTTAACAAAGAACTCAGGTAGGAGGAAACGAATTAATTGTCCAAAGAAAAATTACAGTGTCTTCGTAAAATATGATATTAAATCCATCATTTTCACATCTTCCATCAATTGTCTCCTCATTGTTACTTCATTTCAGTTGTTATTACAACTACTCTCTGTCTATATTCCTGTTCTCTCCAATTATATATTGTCAATCTTTTGTTGGCATGCATTCCACTTCCGATTGGTGCTACCTACTACTCATATGTGTCAACATAAGTAACATACACCACAATCGTCCTATCTTGAGATGAAAGTCACTTGTGGGGTCGTTCTGCTCGCCGTGTAGCTTGCTTCTTTGTCTCAGTCAGTGCTTCGCCTCCCAATGAAATGTTGAGCCGCCAGCGCGCTAACCTCCGTAGCAATGTCAACCTCTCGGGTCATCTAAGTCCAATATCCGCCCAGCACCCGGGACGTTCAACTCCTGCTCTCCAAAAACCTGTCGAGTCATCTACACCCGATGTCAGCTCAGAAATCAGACTCACAACATCTCCCCATCAACAGCGACTGCTTCAGCCAACGCCGCCCCACCAGAGCACTCCACTCGACGTCTCATTGTCGCAGCAACTAGCGATTCCTTTCCTAGACCCACAAGTGCACTTTCCTCTCCTCCCTTTTGACAGAAAAATTACAGAATGCTTTTGCAAAATATGAAAACCGCACTTCAACTTTCGATTTGTGTTACATACTGCTTATATCTGTCAACATAAGTGGCATACATCACAATATGAGCATGTTACAAATACACTCATGATAAATAGTAATTACTTATATCTGTACTATTATAATCATTTTTAAAATGTCATTAGAAACTAACACTTTTTCTCAGTTTACTCTAAACAATCCCGATGTATTCAGTCTTCTATGTTTCACTCATCATATTAAACAACGAATCTATTTAGGAGGAAACAAACTACAACAGAAACATTTGTATCCAGTGGCAAAAGAAAAAAAACGAAACAATGTTCATATTAAGACATATTCTCATTGATAAATGAATAAAATAGTTATCATTTATTATCAAAATGAACATATCCAAATACTAAGCCTTCTCACTGTCCTTCTATACACATATGATTTGACAGTTAATCGATCTCTTCAACTGAAATCATGAATATTATTTACATTAGAATTAATGCTCACCTCTGTAAACAGAAATGTAATGCGTACAGAACTATTCCAAATATAAACGTGGAACAACAGTCATACGGTAGCAATGTACTACTCTGATCCATTTTACATCAACAGTAAACATTATGGATAATGTATATCAAAATAGGTCAAATTGAAAATGGCATAACATTTCATCTATATAAATTGGTTGTTTGGATCCTCCCACTGATGTTTAGGACTGCAAATGATCAGGATGATTTTACTGCAAGTCACCTTCCATCCCTGCGTAAAATGTTTGTAACTTGATGGCAGTATTAATGCAATCCGCACAGAGTATACATATGCCAAAAGAAACTGATCGATTGCAGTCCTAAACATCAGTAGGAAAACCCAAAAAAAACAATATAAGTGAATTACAATTCACTATATTGCATACACAAATGACTACTGGACTCAATAAGCTAAGTGGATAATGCGATGACATTTGAAGCGAGCAGTAATAGGTGCGAGTCCCGGGATGAACATCAAATCGGACGCAGACACATCCAGCTGATGAGTCCGAAGAAAGACGAAAAGCGCGGCCTGGATCCCACTCCTAGCTACCATACATCACTACTTAAAAGGCATGACCCTCTAGTCATGAAATATCAAAATTTAAAAAATTCAGTGGAAGAAATGATATTTAACATATCATATAAGGCTTAGAGTAGAATGAACAGTAACCATCACTTCCTTAACCGCTTGTCTGACCGATTTCCTATGATTGCTGTCCAAGTATTGTGTGTATAAAGACTAAACAAACATAAAACTATACAACTCAGTATAATATTTTTATTCCTTAAAATAAATAAAACATACTTGGCTGCTGATCACCATTTACATGACTAGACTGATTTTGTAGAGAACAATCAGAAGATTCTGACTGAAGTTCAGTTGAAACACAAGATGAACCATCTGTTGTAGAAATACTAGTTACAGGAATATTTTGATTAGTAGAAAAATTATCAATGCATGTAGTTGTATGGGTGGTAACGGTGGCAGTTATGCAGACATTAGACATGGATACCGATGATTTTGACTGGGTAGGGGTTTTAACATGAACTTCATTTTTTCCAACTACACCACGAGGAACACGTGCAAAAGGGCTGGCTGGATGATGTGTAATAACAGTATTACCACGTGGAGAACTGGCAAAACAAACTGTATAAATTTAAAAACAAATAATAGTGAACATTTCTTCCTTTCCGTTTATTATATTAATATTCACACAGCTTAATATTGTTATGATCTGATGTGTACAAATATTTCATAAAAATGTACTTAGATAAAAATAAATGTGGATTTTGTTAAAATAAAGTAATTGCGCAAACTGTATCGGTTTTTTATTTTTCAAATGATCAATGTTACAAAAACATATTAGACAACATAACGTTATGAGGTTGAAGTTAATGATAAAAGGATAGGTCAACAAATCACAAAGAACAAAGTGCCGGACATTCACTTTTCATCTTCCCAATTTCGTAAACAACACCTCCGCCACGAGAAGGCAGTGAGTAGGACTTCCCTGGCAGTGGTTATGTACACTCGAGAGGGAGAACGAACTCTCTGAAACACTTTATGAATAATTGAGTAATTTGAAAGTAATATTTTGATGAATACATATTCTTCCTTGTACTATTATTAAAAATCAGTAATGAACTTTCATTCAAGTTTCAAACATTGGTGTCTCTACTGAAGTTTGATAGATGCCTGTCATTTTAGAATATGCCTTTCAATGTAAGATCTCACTTTAGTTTTGTAATTTTAATCCAATAAAGAAACTGTAGTATAATGTGTACAACAAGATTAAATAGTTGCAGACTAAGTGAAATAAATAAAAATCCTTTAGATGGTGGTTGGAGGTAGTCAACAGGAAACCCTGGACCCGGGTTTCGTGCTACTTGGCACTCGTCAGCAAGGTGTACCTGTAATCTTGAGGGAACTGATGCTCCCTGGCGGATTCGATCTCGTGTCACCCAGCTTCACAGTCAGAGACGTTACCACTGAGCTATCCGAGTCGTGACTAACCTCCTGTAGGACTGAGATGGAATCACAATTGATTGATCACTGGGTGGTGATCAATGTCATGCTTGTCTAGTCCTTATTAGTGCAGATCGAATGCTATCGACTGTGAAGCTGGGTGACACGAGATCGAATCCGCCAGGGAGCATCAGTTCCCTCAAGATTACAGGTACACCTTGCTGGCGAGTGCCAAGTAGCACGAAACTTACGTCCAGGGTTTCCTGTTGACTACCTCCAACCACCATCTAAATCTCAATACATAGTGCCCGCAGTGTCGAGTCACCTAGACTGTTGGCCACATTGCAACATGATCGATAGCATTCGATCTGCACTAATAAGGACTAGACAAGCATGACATTGATCACCACCCAGTGATCAATCAATTGTGAAATAAAAACCCTACCAAATAAGATACGTAGACAACTACTTAATTCATTCTCTAGTAGATTACTTAAATCTATACAAGCTGATTAGTATTTGACTAATAAAAACGTCAGAATGAGTTTGTAAGTATCATTACGAAGATTCGACCTGATGATTTTAAATCAATTAAGGTATTGGGTGAGTTCTTTATAGTGTTAATAATCTTAGTAATATAATTGTATCATTACAATAAGTCAAAAAGTTTAGTTCTCTAAAAAAGCAACTTACATTAGGCTGTGAAACGTCAGAAATTCAACTTTCTACACTATTACTGTGTTATTAATACGAAAGTTTTGCATTTTTTGCGCATACATAACAGAGTAGCTGGTTAATTTTGAAAGTAAATATTCAAAAAGAATATAATAATAACTAGAGTGAGAACGAAAGACACTGAAAGATTTAAAGTGTAATTTAAGCCGTTTTATTAAATTTGATACTTTTTTACATGATAATGCATACTAATAAGGAATGAATTAGAATTTACTGTAGAAAAAGTTCTATAATGCCTGTAAACAGTCTAGAATAATATCTAATTCAGATATTTCCTATTAATCAGTAATCAAATTAACTATGAATTAGATATTGGTTCCTACTGCCTTGTCATGGAAGTTTGATCTAAATTCTGGGTCACCAGTTTTCCAAACGCGGATTTTATGACCATACATTTACCTGTTTGAAATTTATTTTAATTAACTTATTATGTCTATCAACAACGTGTAATTAGGTGCTTCTACAGAATATTAACAACTCATCCCGAATTTAATTACTAAGAAACTTAAAAAGTACCATGACAATGGTTGTTTTTCGTTTCGAGAGACAAGAGGGGATACTTATTGGAGTGATACAGTATATACATTCGGTGACGAGAAAAAGATGTCTTGCAAGCAACACTAATCATGAACAATAACAGTGCTTTCTGGCTTTCACTGGTGGTCTAGCTAAGTTCAGTTGGTGAGTTAAGCTATGAAGACTACAAATGAACAGAAACGTTTTTGTACATATTTTTGGAATATTCACAAATTAAACGCTCATGAAACGGTGCAAAGAGAAATTTCTTTCTAAAATTTCGATTACGAATGGTTCACACTACGATGAATACGTTTAATCATAAAACTTACCATTTGACAGTGAAGTACTGTTATTTTTTGATTGAATACTAATTGCATTGCTGACTGCATTAGTTTCACCATTATTAATATTATTGTTAATTGAAGACAGTGGTGAAACAGAATGACTATTACCATTTTTACATTGAATTGATTCAGATTTAGTATTTATAGAATGATGATGAAGAAGGATTGAACTAGAAGTCACATTTGTTATTAATGTCTTCCGAGAATCGACATTATCATTATTATTTGTACAATGGTAATTAGGATGATGATCAGAATAGTTGTTGTTGCCGCTATAATAATTGCATGAACTGAAAGAATGTAAGGAGGGTTTATATGAAATATGAAATATAAAGAGTACACTAAGTAAAAAATGAATGAAACACTATTGCACACTTGCAAAAAAATAAAAGTTCTCACTACTTCTTGTTCAGTGATAATTATCTTCACAAATATGACATACAGAATAAATTTTTGCAATTAGTTCACATAGAATGTTTGTCTGTCCATCATGAAATTGATATTCAAGTGTTTAGTAAACAGTCTTCTATAGAAAACTTTATTCAAAGTGTATTCTCACTTTGTAATGGTTTATTGCATGCCAAAAAATGGATTGTCTAATAGTAACAAACTCAACTATTATCAGAATGGGTTTTGTGGAGATTTTAGAAATTTCACAGATTGAAATCATGAGTCAGTTGAAGCTAGACCACCATTGAAAACCTGGAAGCACTGGACGGCCGTCTCGTCCTAGTATGGGACTCCTCAGCAGTGCGCATCCACGATCCCGCACCACGCGGGGCTCGAACCCAGGACGAAACGGCCGTCCAGTGCTTCCAGGTTTTCAATGGTGGTCTAGCTTCAACTGACTCATGATTTCAATCTGTGAAACTCAACTATGTTTCACGACTAAAACTTCAACTAGACCGTATTACTATTTAAAATGTCAGTATAGGGTTGTGGGGGTTGTTGAGATTTTTTAAAATTACGATCATGAACCGAACACTGTTAAACCACCATTGAAAACCTGAAAGCCCTGGACGGCCGTTTCGTCCTAGAATGGAACTACTCGGCAGTGCGCACCCACGATTTTGCACACGGGGCTTTAACTCAGGATCTTCAGTCTCACGCACGAACGCCTTACCTCTAGACCACTGAGCCGGCTGGCATCTAACGGTGTTAATGTCTAACTTCAACCGATCCGCAATATTGCGCGATCGTCCACCATTGTTTTCAGTGAGTAACTGTTTCACGCCTGACACGGTTGAACTCCACTAGTCACGGCTTCTCACTAAAACTGCGATAATTACCTATTAGAACTATCCATTAGTGAGTTTATTTATGTATTAAATTTATTGTGGTTTCTGTTCATTTGACTTTTGAATTAATCGACCATAATTTTTGCTCGGTATAACATGAATTTGTATTACTTAATCCATTGTGATTTTTTATTTACTAAACTTTTGTTCAGTATAGTAATAAATTGTATCCTGTCTGTAATCATTTGCTTAAATGACAGCTGTTCGGTTTGATAATTTCTGTAATTAATAATCACTAAATATAATTAGTATATAACTGATTAAACTGGGATGTAATTTAATTCATCTAGAGTCTTTAGTAATTAAATCTTCCTTTCAAGATTGGTACCTTGGAGTAGTCCAGAGGCCAAGATAGGAGAAAACTGCCATGTCGTAGCTCAGGGTGTGATAAGAATTACTGCTGATACCTCAAAGAATAAAAATCTGAAAAGCCCTTTACAGTTCGACAGATGTAATGTAACTTCTGAGTTGTTGATAAGAGATACTTCAAAAACAAATGATGTTATTTAGATGTACGTAGATAGTTTTCATGATAACCTTAATTCAGCGAAAGAATTACTTTGAAAACTGGTCAGCCGTCTCGTCTCAGTATAAAACTCTTCAGTAGATCCATGGGGTAACATTAAGCCATCAAAATCCGATTCCGACCAAATAATCTAAATGAATAACGGTCACCACAAGATTCTAAGTTCATGTCCTGATAGGATAATGAGTGTGTACTTTTGGAAAGTTTTTTATTCGAATTAAAACAGTTATCTTCAATGCTTGATGGTTCTAAATGATTTTCTGGATAACTTCAATTCAGAATATAAAATATTTTCATATATATATACACAGATTTCCAGAAATTTTCTCATTTGAAAGGAATCACTTTGAAATAATGAAAAAAATTATCAATCAAGCGGACGACAGCAAACAAGTTTCTAGTTTTAGTTAAATTTGTTCAGATATAGTGTAAAAACAAAAAACAATTACACTAAAGAATAAAAACCTGATTAGTGAAGAATAAATATTTAAATACTTAAACTAGAAAAAGAATAAAATCAATTGAAATACGTTAGTTTGCTCAATTCTTTACTTTTTACAGTAAAGAAAGCAGTAAAACAACAATGTCAGTCAATAATCAAAAGCATTCGGAACAATGAATTCATAATATTGAATATGATTGATTATTTTACAGATATATAACGTACACTACCTACACATAAACATGCACACCCAAATTCATTTGTATGTTTTGTTTCCTACATATCATCATTTACATGTTGATGCACTGTTTCACTGGTACTTTATTCTCAATTTTATTCGAAACATGATTCATCTTGTTAAGTCATTTGGTTACTAATCTTAAAGTTTAACACTTCGAATTTTACTTTTTGACTTTCTATAGTGATACAAAACTCTACTTCACAACTGATCTAGAGAGCAATGAAGTTTCATCAATTAATCCATTTTGGGCCTTGATCATCAAGAATAATCTGTTTAGTTGTGTTATTCCTTCTCCTCAGTTATTCTTCTGAACCAACTTAGATTAGTGTAGTAAAACTTCGAGAATTCAATAAAAAGAAGCTCGTAAAACCGAAAACTATTAATATATTTTAATCACATTTGTATTGCATTAGTACATTAGTACCGTACTTTTGGTGGCCTTTGAAAATATTTTCTAAAATTCAATAGAGATAAGTACCAACTCATTACAGTTGAGTTCTGAAACATCTCTAACTGAGCATGACTTCTAGGTAGATCTTGATACGATCAGAAATTAATCAATACTATATAAATATATATCATTTACAAAAAACCAATACACAATCATTAACATAGAAATAATAATAACTAGTGTTAAAAATTATTTGCATAAAGGAATCGATAGTTTTTCTATAGAGTAAAATATTACTGATAATTTTATTCGTAATTTGATACTATCTAAATAATCAGTGAGATTTACATTGAACAAAACAAATAAATTTGATTAAATTCAACATTTTGAGACCGTACACATACATATAACATTTATTCAACATGAAATAATAAACAGTAATATTTCAATGGTAATATCAACCATACAGGATGCTGATTTTAATCCTTGTAGTATATGGTTATGAAGAGTTACTACCATAGTCAGATGTCAAGTGATTATCAAATAATATATATTCATGTAAAATAAACATGAAATCGGCAATTGTATAAAATGAGAATATTTAAAGTAAAATCACGATGGGGAGTGGAGTGCCGAAAATTGACAAAACTCATAGGAATTAAGACCAAAGTATCACTTAGAAATGTTACATAAACCTCTGATATCGAATAAAATAATTACATAGAATAAAATTAATTGGTTTATTGATAATATAAGAAAATTAATCAATAAAATGACTAGTGACTGGATATTTACCACTATAATAAAACAAGACAAAATCAATTACAAATAAGAACTAAGTAGCATTGACCTTAGTTACTCAATTTATCTAGTTACTGGTTAATGTAATGATCTTCACGAAAGTTAAATCTTTAAATTATTTAATATAATGAACAAATAGTGAAAGAAAGAAATAATCTAAAAAATTATAACGAAGTAAAAAAAACTCATTTCTGTTGATTCTTTGTACACAGAATAGTTTACTGAAGGTCGGTTGTTATAACATTGCTTTCTTTTCTGGAAATAAACACAATTTCCTTTCGTTCTAGTATAAAGATAACATGCAGTTATACATAAATATATATAATAAAGATTACTATCGTGAGACTTAGAACAACACAAATATAAGTGAACAATATTGTTTTCAATTAGATCGTCCGTCAGGCTGTATTCTAATATACATAAATATTTACATGTAAATTTTAAACAATCAAGGCAATTTATGAGTCAATGATCATTATGGAATAGATTGTATGACTATATATAATAGGTAAACAGTGCAAATTGTTAGTAAGAAGACAGACGTACTAGTATTGGTAAGAATAATAAAGTAGCAGAAGTTCTAGTCAATAGTTTAACATGGAAAGTAGGTCAAACGCCAAAAAAAAGTAGACATTAGAATAATAATCGCAAAACACTATTAAAATTAAGTAGTATGAAGTATGTAAATAATTAAGTAGTAAAGAATATAAATGGAAGGAGATGAAAGGGTACAAAAAAATACGAGGTTTGACAAAAAAGAATTTTCTAATGCCAAAAATGTAGAAGACAGAGTCAAAACCCCATTAAGAAATAATGAGGGTACATGATGGATCGTTCGAAATGAATTGGCTTCGTTTACCATATGAGCACTGTCAACAAAGTGTGGGGGCAAGGTAGGGCTTAGGATTGTCTTTTTCTGGGCTTTTCCAAACCAAAATGACAGATGTTCACTTATTTGTCGGTTAAATTGTATGATAGTACATCCAGTATAGCTACCTTCAAGGAGCTAAAGATTTTTATTATTTTATTACTCTTATCAATACTTATGTACCTGTCTTCTCACTATCAATTTGTATTTTTGCCTACTATATGTCGTGATGCAATCTACTCCATAGTGATCATTGACTCATAATAAATTGCCTTAATTGGTTTAAGGTTTTCATGTAAATATTCATGTATATTAGAGTAAAGCTTGATAATGATCGATAAATATGTGGACATGGAAGAATGATAAGAAAAGATGTAGGCAACATAAAAATCAATTTTAAAGATCATAACAATTGTTAATCATTCTATTTATTGGAGATAGTTTACTAAATAGTATGTAAATCCTTTAACACACACACACACACAAATACATCCCCACATATGTACACACAAATACGATCAGACATTAGATGTCAAGACGAAAACTACCTATAAAACGCATTATAGTATCCAAACTAGAATGAAGTTATCATTCGAGCAATAATCGTGATTGGAAAATAGTGGTATTTCTACCTTATGTAACATAAAATTAAAATCCCCATCGAAATTGATGTTGTGTTTATATTTTTATGTTGGATTAAATTATTTTAGAATTTTGTCCTTTTGTTTTAGAACAAGATACACTGACGGAAGAGAGTTAACTTCCAAACATTAAGTAATGTATAACAGTCAACCCAATACAATTTACCAGTAGTAACGAAGCATGTATTTGTGTGTATGTATACATTTGGGGCGACCGAACCAACAATCAACAAGAACAAACAACAACGACTGAATACACTCCAAGTTCATAATTAGGTTATTTTAAGACTTCACAATCAAAGTAAATCAATCATATGATATCTTAAAATAACTATAGCAATACGAGTGAATGAGATTTGACAATTATGACTCAATTACTACTTTTCTTCGACACATGATGAGTATTTTTCATCAGGAAGGTTTGAAATCCTACAGGTTGACAGTGAACGAGAAATGAAAACCGTTGAAAAAAATCAGTATACCCACTGTATTTTCTTAAAAAATTCTAACTAGAAAAAATTTTGCTGATTGATAGTCTAATTTCTCTTTTCTCTTACAAACAAGCTGAATAACAGTGGTAGCGAAAAAAACAGAAAAAATCGCATCCACTACTGTACGTCAGTTTTTTATCTATCTATCTAGTAATCCTGATGAATTATGGACACATCCCACCTCTACAATTTACATGAAGTAAATAAGAAAACTGAAGCATATGTTACTTCTACTAATTAGATACTAAAACGCGTTATATGAGTACGCACGCACATAAACGCACACGAAGTAGGGCATCAGGAATGCATCACACATATTTAATGAAAAATCAATAATAAATACTATTAATATGACCTTCATAATGTCTTAGTAATATAAACGTATATATTAAAGTACTCTTATAATGAATTGGCTTAAGACTGATTATTCTGTAAGAAATTTTCTATACTTTAACGATTTCACGATGATTAGGTGTAGTTTAAATGTTCAAAGTAGTACGAGATTGGAAACCTGAGATCAGCCCCAAAATAAAGTGATCATACTTCCTCATAAAAACGAACTATTGTTGGGATATCCCAAAAATTATTCTGTTAAGTCTAACTCTATCCTTGGACTTGAAATTGTGTTATTTTCTTATTGGTCAATATTTACTTCACGTGTCGTTTTCCTACTGGTCAGTATTGTACAATGTTATTTTCTATTTTATGGTGCGATGTGGTCTGCTTGATTGGTATATAAACAGAGTATGTTTGAAATATAATGATTCATATATCCGAGGATGAGACCTGCGTTCTGGACTCAACTGGCTGGGCTAGACAGGGAAGCGGGACTAATCAGAACCCTAGGTCGTTCTTACGTGTTTGCGCGTCTTTGGACCGATCGATAATTCGCTGTCCTCTAATCTGCCGTCACAGTTATAACAACTATCGTAAATCCAAAAGACCTGTGACTAACAATCTGGGATTTGACCTTCACTGGAGATAGCAGCATCCATTGGAGAGGGAAGGGATACAATGATATTCAACTGACAAGATTCAAGTCAACTCAAAAATGCATCCTCCATTCAACTAACAATTGCTGCCAAACAGAATAAAAAAGAATATTTTGTACATAAAAAGTAAAGATGTTGAGTATTATTTCACAAAAAGTGTGTCAATCTAAGCGTAAAACTAGGTATATTTGAATTTCCCAAGCAATGAAACAGCCCGTTCACGATAAGTGAAACCAATAGTTTCCTATAGTTCGTTTGACAATGGAAAAAGAATAGTCTGATCTATAATGAGCAACTGTTGGTCAATGTGAATACTATTAACATTATTGGAAACCACTCCATTAGACTAAACGATATTTACGTAGTCAGTTGTTCATACAGTAAGTGCTATGAGTTCTAAAACAACAGATTAGTAACTCCATACCGAATTATGTAGTTTAAAACACCATTTAATTGAAAAAAAATGTTCAGGGAAATCGCTTTTCGGAATAACATGATCGTAAACATTCGACCGTTATACATTCCAAACTAAAGGTTGTATTATTCACAAAATACGGTTGTCATATGACATTCATAATCTCGATTAAAATCCAACAATCTCCACAACCCTATACTGATAATTATTATGTGCTTACTAGTGAATAGTTCTGATAGGTAACTCTCGCAGTTTTAGTGAGAAGCCATGACTAGTGGAGTTCAACCATGTCTGTTGTGAGGCAGTTACTCGATGAAGACAATGGTGGACGATCTCGCGATATCGTGGATTGGTTGAAGATAAAGATTAACACCGTTGGATGCCGTCTGCCTCAGTGGTCTACAAACGAGGCGTTCGTGCGTCAGACCGAAGATCGTAAGTTCGAATCCCACATGCAGAATCTAAGATACGCACTGTTGAGGAGTCTCAATGCTAGGATGAAACGGCTGCCTAGTGCTTCCAGGTTTTCAATGTTAGTTTAATATTGTTTGGTTCAATTCAATTAAAGCATTACTAAAAATTTAAGATTTATATAGAACAGATAGAATTCAGTAGCTAAAATTAAAATCCAATACATTTCATTTGTTTCTATGGTAGAATATAAAATAAAAAATTTATCTTACTTTCATTTAAATTGAGTTAGTTATAAAGTCATCAAATGTATTAAAGTAAAAAGTTCACCATATAATTTTTGTAAATAATCAACTTCAATTTTATTAAAATAAGTATAAAGAAATAGTGGATAAAAGTAGGAGGTATATAAGTAAATCGCAGAAAACAATTCTCTTTAAATCGATTGAAATGACTTTTTTTAAAGTAAATGCTTAAAATTAATTCTTATTACAAATCGATAATAATTAGAACAATCACATGTCTATTATTAATGAGTATTACCATAATGATTTATCCTGGGAAAAAGTGATTAATTAGGAAGACATTTTTCAGATAACATTGAAACTGTCAGCATTTATTTGCCTGATAACAAATTTTTATGATGAAGGTACCATTTTGTTTCCTTTAAAAAAAAACTTATTCTTGTGCATCCAAAGTACACTTTAGGTGTGTGTGCGCATGTTTGTGCAACGAACCTAACGTATGAAACGACTCAACTGAAGAACACAATACATAATAGAAATCATTATCAATATAAACATTATTGATTTATCTACATTAGACACACTGATAGAAATATCTCTATGAAATTGCGATTACACAAATACGTTTAGATATAGAATGAATAATGTATTAGTGCATTTTATTTAACATGTAATCAGAGATTTCGGATTTTACAGTAGTAATATTCTCTGACGAATGAATAGTTATTTCATGGATGTTGTGTAGATCACTAGATTCCTGTCACGTAACCATATTCGTATTGTTAAGAATTAGTTGTCACCGCCTATTCGCATATAGTTATTCCTATATCAAGACTCCAAATGATCGTGAATACTAGTGTCTATTATTTTTAATTATAGGCGTCTGGTTAGGCATTCGAAATGTGTTCCATTTCAGATAAGGTCTGAGTTATTTTGAGCTCACTATTAAGGGTTGAAATGAGTGCTATAACACTCAGGTCACTTCATTCTATTTCGATGGATTTAGTTCGGAGGTAAAGAATGATTTTGAAGCTGTCACTGGGACGTTATCAACACACTGAATTCGACTTATTTCATATCTAGATACTGATTGCTTCAGTGTGCACACTTGAAATATCATATTGTTTCCCAAACTATTCACGATTGATCACATAGCGTGGTGAAGTTGTTTAAGAATCAGTATTATGTTAACTGAAACATGGGTATCATACACACTATTTTGAGTAAACAATCTGTCTAATCTGTAAACACTTAAAACTTTAAAAAAGAAAAACAATTTCAATATCAGTAAAACGAAACAATCCTTAATAGTGAAGTCAAATAAACTACCAGAGTAAATAATCAATCCTATCATTCAGATAGTTTGTTTATAGAGATTCAGTCTGAAGATAAGTTTCTGTGATAAACTATAAGAAATCAGGAGCCAATAGAAAGGTAATTTTTTCGACCTGACTTGAGAATTTTCAGCAATGAGTCATATCATATCGAACTTAAAACATTTAAGTCTAATAGTAAGTGAAGTTTCTTCAGAAAACTTAATCAGAGAGGATTCCAATTGAACTTTGATCCAAATGGTTTACCTGTAAATATTAGTCTGTAATCAGGCCTACATCTTTAAGTGAAGGTAAATTGTAGAAATCGAATGACACCAAATCATGTCGTTCATCTTTTAGTCAGAAAAACATAATTCCTTTAGAACATTAAAAATAATAATAAGCTAATGGGATATAACGTAAAGAAAGAGGATGAATGAGAAGTATTTCTGAATAACATAATTGATCACTGAATGAGTTTCAGAAGTAGGCACACACTAGATGATGTTTTTGTATGTTATTATCCCTAGGTAATATAAAATCTAATCAAGCTGTAGTGAATAATAACGATAAAAGCCATGAGTATGCTTCATTCGTGAAATAAAGAGGAAGTACGATCATTAACATTATTATCATTACCATTAGTATTTTGTATTACCTGCTACAACTTGAGCATAAAGTAAGAGAATCAAGAATTTCACGAGATGAAGTTGTACAATTTGAATCCGTACAAAATACATTATTATTAATACTACTAATGTTATTATCATTAAGAATACAGTGATTATTTCCATTGGTATTTGGCAGCCATAAATTACGTCCAGAACCAAACCAATGTTGATCGGAATCAGAAGATTGACTAACTGTTACTAAATTACAATCGTCAGACAATGATGTTGACGACAAATCGAAACTGACCGAATTTCTTCGTCTACTTTTCATTTTTTTCTTGTATTTATTAATGTAGATAGATTTTGTGCGTGTTTCTGGAGTAGAGAATAACGGTTCAGATTTGATAAAAATACTTTCATTACTTCCACCAGTATTATTTTCATCATAATTATTACAATAATCACTATGATGATAGGAATTTACATTATCATGAAATGAAATCCGATCATATTCTTCAGGCCAATAAATTCCACGATCACAAATATCAGCGTCAACATCACCACCACAACTAGCGATATTCCACTGGTTATTGCAACGTCTTGTTGTACCTTTAATACACGAAATAATATTATGACGAAAGGATGATCTTTTTAGTTGATAATTCTCATATAGTCCTTCGTTTCGTTCTAATTCTTCGATAAGATTATTATCAGCATAATTATCGACTAACTGTTGACAGTTTTCAACTATAAAATTATTATTTTCATTGTACTGTAAACATTGTCCCAGTGAACCAACTCCATCTTCTACATGTATCTGTGTCTCTTTTTCCTTACTGTTAAAGTAGTCTTTTTCTGCTTCATTATCCTCTTCTATGTATTCTTCTGCTTCTTCTTCTTCCCCCAACTCCTCCTCTTCTTCTTCGGGTATTGAAGCTGGTCGATTTGTATTCAGTATACAACAACGATTTAAATGTGATAATTTACTTTTAGCCATTTTACGAAATTGACTAATGAACAATGGAGAAGATGAATATTTATCAATGGAAATGCTGACATCGCCTGGTAGCTTATTAATTTCATCTGGATGATTATTTAATAAATAAGTGTAATAGTAATAATCCAATTGGGGTGCATTGAAGTATTGTCGTTGTAATGATGATGGTTGTCCTTTTCGTTCGGATTCTCCTTCTTCATTTTGTTGTAATTGTTTATAAACACTTGGTCTTACAAGCATTATGAATGCAATAACACAATATTATAAATGGTATAATGTAAGCAAATACATTGAAATAATCATAATTTCGATAGAATATAAGAGAAGTGAATTAATCATTGTTTATTCAAGTGAATGAATTAGTTTTATTTCAAAAATGATAAAATAATGTTTAAATAATAAAAAGAATGTAAAATAATGGATGTACATAAATGCTCAAATTAAAATTATTCTTTGAGAAAAATAGTTCAAATGAGATCATCAATTTGTAATGTATATCTCTGTTTATATTGAGTTTTTCAATGTATGTATATTAGAAATAACATACATTGGTTAGATAATCGTTATTTCTCAAGGTCTAGTTAATTAAAAGCACATACAAACACTTAATAATACACGTAGACTTTGTGTGCATATATATATATATATATATATATATATATATATATAATGCACAAAAACAAATTTGTGCAACACCTTGAAGAAAAAAGGTCGATTATAACACGCGCAGACACATTCATATACACACATAAAATATATACGTACAAACAAACAATATAATTTTAACAGTTGATATAAAACTTGGTGTTACACAATGATCAGTTTTTTTATTTATTGAATAACTTAAATGTGATAAAAGGTTTTAATTGCAACACCAAATGTTATGATTAATTATTTTGTTTAATAATCAACATTATTATTAGTCAGTGAGTTGTTAACCTTGACAAAGTCATTTGTTAATCAGTTTAACAACTATTGATATCAAATTTACACTGTAACGTTTTTTTTCTCATTCTTAAACGGAAAGACGAAATAGATGGTAACGATGGCTGCATATGAAACAACAATATAAAACTGATGGAACAATAAAACACTGAAAAAAGAAAATATGAGTACAGAGACAGTGAGAAAGAGGTGATGTCTTAACATACGAAATTGAGCAGATGAACTAGATTTCGACTATTAGAAGAAAAACATAGAATGATTCAGACACAAACATTTGTAGACAAAATTAAATAAAGATGGATAGTTTTGCATAATTATGAATAGTAGTTGGTTTGTATGTATACAAACAGAAGAAATATTAAGAGGCACACTGAGTGAATGAGAGAGTAGGGAATAGGGCGCTTAAATCGAATAGAACACTCAAATATCTATACAGTATATTTACCGTGTAGCATTAAAAATTATTGACAAACCAGTATAACACATACAAACATGTATCTGTAAACGATCAATATAAAATACTGATAATAATTACTAATCTTTAAACAAATAAACAAACAAACATACATACATATACACAAAGAAACTTTAATTTAGTGATTAGTGTTAGTCAGTAGAGTAAATAAATGAATGATTTATCTTAACTGATACAATTCCACACAGTAATATATATAGTGTGATTAATCACTGGAGTCAGTGTAGACAATTCTGCTAATATGAAATTGCAGACGAGCTATTTTATTTTTTATCTTTAAAGAAAGCCAACTATTAAACAACAATAACAACAACAGGGTTGTCCTATGTCTGTCGACGATTATTTTCCATTAAATTTGTTTAAAACAGAAAATATGAACTAAATATTTTAACAACAAGTAGGCAAAGACATAAATGCATATTTAAATTGAATTAAACATAAAGACAGCATTATCTCATAAAACAGTGATGGAAGTGAGTAAGGAAGATCAAAAAGAATTGAAGTATTGAATACTGCTTGTTGACTAATCTTTCATTTTATATAATTAGAGTCAATAAAAATAATAAATTGTAATTCTAGTTCAAAATAAGGTCAAATTCTTACTGTTAGTATTTCATAGTTAAATTTCTGAAATTCATTCGCAAAACCTACATGAACTTTGAAAGTATCCTGGTGTATTGTAGTGTTTTATTGCAATAATAAAAGTATTTGGATGACCCAAATTACTCAATAAGTTGTTAGAACAATCACTAGACTGGTAATTTGCTCATGTAGATACGATGAGTTACACTTATCACATAATAAATGTGGCGATTAATTCTCAACATAAACGAGGTAGTGGTATCGTTGGATGAGATATTAACAAAATTTGCATAATTGTGACTTTACTTAACCATTTCCTTAATGTTACCTGAATGCAGTCGAAAGTAAACCAGTGCAGTCTCTCTAATAAACGTTTGAATTATAGTAAAATAAGAAGCCACAAAACTAAGAAGACCATACAACGAAATCATGTAAGATAGAATTCCTCTATTAATAGTGAGTCAGTTTGATAGATATTGACATGTGTTTTGAGTAAATCACGGTTTTCTCAAAAAACACTGATGCTACTGTGATTGTAACCAATAATGCCAATAAATCAAGAACTAGTAAAATAATTCAAATGACTGAAATTTTATGAAGACGTTTATCATTCGATAAACTACAATTGTGTGGTCTAAATTAACCAGGAAGTGATGGTATTAGGTCTGAATATGTTTCGTAGACACGCATGGACATAGTGAAGAAAAAGAGAACCATAGTGCAGAGCAAAGATAAGTATCAAGTGTGGAAGTACCACCATTCTTTTTTCTTTTACGGTGTATTTAAAACTATAAACCATGAAGCTAAATTGGTACAACTTATTGTTCCTAACAGGTGTTTTAAATGCCTCAAATCCGGACATGAATCAATTCCCTGTCTGGTTACAACTCACTGTAGAAAGATCAACTGGAATAATCGACATAGCAATCTAATGAATATCGCTAAGCCTAAAGATACACCATCGGTTGTCAACATAAGATCCGTGAACACTAGATATCCATTCACTTACATTGAACTAGTTCGATTATTTGAACTTTTAGATTCAGAAAAATGTAAGTATTTTTTTATTTAGAAGTTAATCTCATAAAAACAGATTTTCCAATCGAACTTTGGACATAAATGAAACAGTAAGCCGCATTCATCGAGGCCAAAAGCATCAAAAAACGTTCCTAGTGACATTTTTTTGTTGAGTCTCTGAAAACCTTATAAATCAAAACTCGAGGAAACATACTTCAGCATTGAAAGGAGCTTTCATTTTCAAGATATAAAATTATTAATCCTTGCTAACAAAACTGTTCTGATAATAAATAACAAAAACCTAGATTTCCCATAAATATATCGGCAAGAATTGGGCCCAACGGGCTAACTAGATGTACAGTGGGTTCTGGGTCACGGTACTTGTACTACAATGCAGTCATATCTCTACCTCAATAACACTTTTTGATTGCATACTATATGAATCTATTTGTGAGCAATAAGACAGAGGATTAAATGCCAGCGATATAACTATTCATTCGCCAACACCGTCGTATAATAATTAGTACAAGAGGGTTGTAGATGCTAGTGGAGTTCAACTATATCGGATATGAGACAGTTATCCGCCATATTGGAAGATGTTCGCATAATGCAGTGAGTTGATCGAAATTAAACATATCTAGAGGTTAAGTGCACATGGATGAAACTAAAGGTCCTGAGTTCGGTTTCTGGAAGCAGGGTCATGGGTGCCCACAGCCGAGAAGTACCATACTAGGACGAGACGGAAGTCCAGTGCTTCCATGTCTTCAAATATTTTTCTTAGACCCGTTTATGACTTAAACTACCAGATATCTTAAGAATGTATGAACTAAAATCTCTCAATGATTGAAATAAATCGCCCAACTACTGATCAGTCGAAACAAAGTTTTATATTCACTTCTCATTATTATTCAGTTAATAATGATAATGGATGATAATAACAATAACAATAAGAAGAAATAGGAATTTAGAATAGAAGAGGGAAACATGTTTCTAGAAAACAACGATCTGTTATACAATTTTCAAATTAAATTATTTCTTTTTTTCATGAAGATAGTCTTTTGTCTGGGAGTCAACATACATGTATATGAAACAAAGTGTACACACGTACACATACATACATACATATATTACTTGACTGTAAAACATGTAGAATGTATGTAATTCATTCGATGCAGTTGGAATTTTAAGTTTTATATTTTAACAACAATGTAATTCATTGAAATGGAAATAAATGAATGAGTGAACTGAGAAGCAAAAAAAGAATTAAAAACCCACTGTTTTCCTCTTAATAATAAAAACAGTTGAATTATATCGGAATTCGTAACAGGAATACAAAGAGTATCAATGAAATGAAGTTATAAAATAACAAATTATTATTATTTATTCAATATTATTATTATTATCAATTTGAAGTTACATCTAAGACAATAGATGACAAAATTACAAATATAGATGAGAACAAGAAAAATGTATATGAACTACAGAAGATATTTGTCTGCTGTATTTAAGAGTAAAAACACTGAATGGAACTTTCACACGGATACAATGTCATTGCTTCAAAATAAATGAAAAGTATTGTATAGTTTATATTACACATTGAATCGAGTTAAACAACCATTGAAAGCCAAGCACTGGGGGTTGTTTTTGCTGGTATGGAACTTCGCAGTAGTGCACACCCAAGTTTTCAATGGTGGCGTACAGTTAATATGTAATGTAAATTATAAAATTTAACAATTTCTCACAAATCGATCAAATGAAATCATGCCATTTAAATTTACTAAACAGTGTATTAATTCCAGTTGGTAAACTTAAATTATTGAATACAATGAAGACAACTAATTAATGTCAAATTTAAGATCAGGTTGGTGACTATCGGTACCAGGAAAAGTTTCTAACAAAGTGATTTTGAACCAAATGGAAAATTCAATAGACACGCAAATTCGAGATCAACAAACCGGATGCCATAACGACCGGGCGTGCACAAACTAAATTGCCACAATAAGGATTATCGTTGAACAACCAATTTAATGAAACTCATCACGAAACATCAACTCCATTGACTATGAGGAAGAGTTGACAGTGTGGACGGGAGGACTTTATGGTAAATTCTTCGACAGTGTGGTGTAACTGAGATCTTCAATATCACACGGAATTCATACGACGGACTACAGAGTAAAGTCGTGAATGGAGGATAGCTGACAAATGCATTCCAAGTAAGGACCGGAGTCAGACAAGGCTGCTTACTCACCCCCTTTCTCTTCCCTTTAGTGGTCGACTGAATTACGAAGACCTCAATGTTTGATGGGAAGCACGGAATACAATCGACAGCTTGCATGCAACTAGATGATTTGAACTTCATAGATCACCTAGCTCTTCTATCCCATACACATCAACAAATGTAGATAAAAACAAACAGTGTAGCAGCAGCCTCCGCATCGGTAGGCTTCAACATGCACAAGGAAA